GTTAATTAGCATTCACTGTTACCGTAGTAGCACGTTAGTTAGGTAGCCACCTATCACTGTGGCAATAGAAGCCCCATCGGCATCCCTGCACAACATGACCTTCCCGATAAATTTATTCAAGTCACTTGACAAAATTCAGCAAATCACCCACAGGCTCCCTCGAGAGGTCCTCCAATCCATCAAACCGATATCCTCCCAAAAAGCATGTTCTCCTTCGCATCAAATCGGGCAGATGCAGAGCATGTGTTGCTTGTTCCCCACCACCATGAGGTCTCAGATAACACCTGATGAGAAAATGTTAAGCCTCCTCGCCATTTTTTCCAGTAAATACTGTCCCATCAAGAAATTCTTACCTTTACCGATGCAACCAAAAAAATGTCACTTTTAACCTTATTTCTTCTAAAGTATTCGTAGTCACTTAAATATCGAACTCGTCCCTGTTTAAATGAAACGTTCATTTAATAATCTCCTTACATTTCTTTACATTCCCGGACCATTTGCAATATAGACAATAGAAAACGACTAGTCGCTTAAATTATACTTCATAAAATAGAAATTACGTGAAAATTGTAATTATTATAGAGGATACCAATAATTATTATTACTTCTAATTATTATACTCGTAATCATTATTATCATTATCAATTCAAAAATAAAAATTATTTTAGTTTGTGTTTACTATAAGGCGATTCATTAGAAATAATTTCTGATTTGACAATCAAATTTAATGGAAAATAATTTAATTATATTATAACACTTTTATAGCAGTATTGTTTTAGTGAATTACAATTTTAATTTAAGTGAAAATTCCGTTTAATAGAAACTGTTTCAAATAGCTTTCCGGAATTAAAAAAATTTTTTAACATTAATTTTATTTTAATATTTAAATAATTATAAGTGTAATTATTGCTTTGCTCTCAGCATACCGGTAGGGTTGATCTCAGCATACCGGTAAGGATGGTAACGGAGCGTTGTCTCTTGTCGGAAAATGGCCAAGAGGCTACTAGACACTACAACGAATGTCTGTCCGGGATATGAGGGCATTACGGAGGTGTAGGACGTGGAGCATGTCCTTTGTGCTTGTCCGTCTCTGATAACAAAGAAGAAACGCAACCTGGGGACCTTCTTTTACGATGGTATGGAGGACCTTTCGGCGGAATTTTTGATACGACTTTTGATATTTAACAAGAAGGCTGATTGGTTCCGATAGATGTGCTTTGGCATTTGCATTATATAGGCAATTGTCGAATGTTAATTTTGAGGTTGGCCGGGTGGTGATCCTCTCTTTTAGAAAGTGCTTTTTTTCGAATCCGACGTATTTTTTAACTCATTACTGAATCGTTGAATCACTCAGTACTTTTATAGTTCCGAATGCCAAAATATCGATACTAGGAGGAAATTCAAAATTTTTAAATGAATACAAATGAGCGTAGAATCCAATTATCGAACGCCTTTCCAGGAATTTCGAGGCTACTCTGAATAAATCAAGTACTCAAATCTTTTCATTCATAAATATTTGCTTCTCTTCCAATTCGAATCTTTTATAACTTTTCAAAAAATCAGAAAAATTTATTGAAACATTTCGTAAAATTTAATAAATTCTTTAACTTGTATCTTTTTTTTTCCAATTTCCTGGAATGCAGTAAGCAAAATGCGTCACTAATTTATTAAAAAATAAAAAAAAACATTAATGACTTAATCCAAGTGTAATATGTTTTTTTGTTTTTCTTAATTAAATACAACATAAAAGTGCAGTATGCATTAACAATAAATGCATAAATGCATAATCAAGTGTTCTTTAAAAAAAAAAATGATAATGTTTTTTCTATCGTAAAATAAATCTTATATAAGCTTCAATTAATTAATTTGATGTATGTACGTGTGTAAAGTAGATAATACAAGAAATTCATTTGAGTGTAGAGAGAGAAAAAGTATAGAAAATACTCTGAAATCTATTCTTCATTTAACTTGTATATAAAGAAGTGAATGCCTCAAAATAAAAAAAAGAAACCCAACTTTATTATTGGATAACCTTAAAATTAAAAAAACCAAACCTAGACTATTATAATCTTTCAAACCAAACAATGATGAATCATAAATATAATAGTGATTGTTATGTTGAAATTGTTGCATGAATTGCAATTTATTTATTTTTCTCTTTTTCTTCTGCTTTTGCTGTCTTTTACCATATTATATACCAAGTTATACTTTAAGTACTTAACAAACCGTTCTTCTCATATACAAAACCTCAATATAGAAAAATTTCTTTTAATAAAAAAAAAAATACAAAATTTTGTATAAAACCACAAACACAAGATTTTTTCTTTTACCAAGACAGAAAAAAGAAAAAACCAAAAGGGTTTATTTTTACTATAACCATGGAAATATTAGTAAAGCATACAGCCTCAAAATAAGTAGTTAGAATAAAATTTGTAATATAGTTGATACAGTAGACTTTGAGCTAGGCAAATCTTGCTGCCAGTCTTAAAAAAATATTATTTAAAAAAAAAAAAAATAAACTTTTGTATGGAAATATTGTTGCAACATGCTTGGGTCACAAGCTTAATTAAATATGAAACACTCATGGAAATGAGGGTACATAATCGGGCGTCAGGTCTTTTTTACCGGTGCATGCTAAGGTGCCAGTTGATTTTTAAGTATGTAACTGAGCAAGTAAAAAATAGTGTTTCAAATATAGGTATATTTGGGTGCCAGAATTATTTTTATGTGTTCTGTATGTAACGGCACATGCTTGGGCTCCAGCTAATTTTTAAGTACATTATTGAGCAAATGAAAAATACAACTGCAAATACAGGTAAATGCTAACACGTCAGATTTCTCCAAAAAAACCGATATTATAAGCAGAATAACAGCTTTAGCTATACTTCATTATAGTCTATTATTGAAATCTCTGAAAACAAATCATCATTTTTTCTATAAAATTCTTATGTTGAATTCATTCTAAACAACTGAATACTATATTTATAAGGACTTGTATTCAAAATATCTTAAGAGTACTTTTAAGTCCTTGAAAATATTATATAAATGTTTATGGTTTATCTATTCTTTTTCTATATATTTTTCTCTTCGCCCCTCTACTCTATATACCTTCTTTCTTCTTTGTACCGTAATGTTTGCATCTTTTTGCAAATTTTTTTTTTACAAAAAAAAAACACAAAAAAAATTGTTTCTTTCCTCTCTTCTGTCGGTTTTAAATTTAATAGAAGCTAAAAGAAGCAAAAGCAATTGAGTTTACATCTTCAATTTAAGGAAATTTTTTTTTATCTAAATGTTTTATCTTAAATTTTTGTGGAAGTAAAAAGAAGAGTACCAATAAGATTTTTTTGTTATTTTGTTCCTTTTTCCCTGCAATGTATAACACTTTGTGTGTACATACACCAAAAGTACAAGAATAATATAATTATATTGTGCATACTATGTACATATGCTTTTATAAGTGTTTGTATGTTTGAGTAAAATATAAATGTTAACAAATTAGTCAATTTCAAAAGCAAACATTTTCTTTTCATTTTAATTTTAATTATGAAAATAAAAACAAAGAGAGAAAAAAAGAGCAATAATATAATGAGGGTAAAATCATTTATCGTAATTATTATAAGTTGAATGTATGAACGTAAGGAGATGGTGACTTTAACGTAAAATTTTTACTAAAATAAATTTAAACACAAAAAATAGAAATTGCAAAATTTTTCTTGATATTATATCATAATTAAAATATATGTATTCATATTTTTGAGGAATACATATTGCCAATCAAATACAATTAGCCCAGGTGAATTATGGATTATTATTCTAAATCAAATAAGAAGCTGCATTAATTTTGAATACAATACACGGTTTTTTAAAAAAATCAATATGAGAAGAGGCATTAAAGTTCCATGTAACTAGAAAAGAATTTAGCTGTTGTGCCAGCATTCAATGAGCGCCACTGATCAGTAATAGTATTGTGCCATTTGCGCTAGTATTGCGCTAGTATTGTGCCATGTTTGTGCTTTCTTTATAAAACTTCAGAATAATATCTTGCTCTCTTTAATATAGTATGTATTATCGTATTATCGTTAAAATAAAACTTTGATATTTGAAATGTTTATTCACTGCAGAGCGAAGACTTTTCGGCGTTCCCTAAAAAAACAACCTCTTAAGAGAGTAGGGATTCTTTTCTATTTCTTTAAGAAACTAACTCGAAACACAATATTGAGCGGTTTGACTTGTATTTTAAAGAGAAACCATTGAACACAGCCGAGATCCTGCAATTTATTAAAAACAAATCTCAGAAATTTTGCATTAGTATCTGCACAACATTTTAATGAGGTCCAAAAACCGCAACTCACAACATTTTATTTTAATATACGATTTTAATCAAAACTTGTTCATTAAAAAATAATATTACGGGTAAATAACTAATTATTTGTTTATCTCTCTCTCCGGCTTTTGCAATGAAATAGAGAAATTTTGCCAAAAAAATTTTAAATTCTTTTTTTCTAATCTTTTCTTCGTACAAAAATATTTGTTAAAACTTTAGATTTACGGGAAGATTTTTTTAAAGTTCCAAACTTTTATTTGAAAAGAAAAAAATGTAATGAAAACCACTTAAATGATGATTCTATTGTGGTGACCAGGATCAACGGTCACGTGTTTCCTGTCTATTAATTTTTCCTTTTTTTGTTTTAATTTTTTCGTCGGACAAATTTCGATTCTGCGATTTCATTTTTCCCCTTTTTTTATTTTGCTTTTTAATTTTTAATTAAAAAAGTTTGAAATAATCCTACATTTTTTTTGCTTTTTTGTCGTTTTTAGAAAGCAAGGATTGCGGTCATAAGTTTTAAAAATTTAAAATATATAGGGAAATGTATTCGTCAGTGCGATGTTCATAGAAATTGCATAAGATAATTCAATAAAGAAATAGAGACTCTAATAATGCTGAATAATTCAGTTTTGCAGAAGATTTGTTGGTAACTTAAAGCATTTTCTTATGCCTCAATTTATTCGCATGGTAAAATCTTTTAACATTGATAATTACAAAAAAAATTCTTCAATTCATTTTCATTTTATATAACAAATTTTTTGTTTTTGCTCTCAAAAATTATATTCATTTCGAAATGTTTCACTAACATTACTGAATCTCCTTTGAATTTCATGTACTTGTTGTTCAATATTACGTCTTACACCCGAACAATAACGTAATTTTATATTACCAATTAAACGTACCGATATAAAATAAAATAATTCAACAAAACTTAATATTGATATTCCCATAAATAATCCTAATAAACCACCAGCATTTGCTGTAAAATCGATAACACCATATAATTTAGCACGTTCTTGACTCCAAAATCGATTATCTTTGAAATATATTAGAAATTTTGTTGTTCTGTATCTAAAAAAGAAATCATAGTAAAATGTTTAATATATATAATTTTCAAATATTATAGTAGATAATTTAGAATACTCGTCTTCTTCGTCGATATCTTCTTGTAATGGGGCTTGAGTTATTCCATAACTATATGATAATGTTGTACAGGATGGTAAACAATCACAATCTGGAACTTTTACTTTATTTTTTGTATTATTTTGTGTACTCTGTTGAAAATCTTTTTCCATTAATTCACGTTTTGCTTCTTGATAACATGATATTTTTGCTGCACCACATGTATGAGTATTTTTTGCTCCTAAAAAAAGTAAAAGTATTAAAATTAGTTCAGCTTTCAATTGTAAACTTTTTGGATACTCTAGAAATTTAGAACTCACTCGGCATATTAAACCTTACACATTTACATTTAGCTAGCGTATAATTTGTAAGACATTCGAATTCACAATTTGCTTGACTATATGACTGAAAATATGCTAAACGCCTTTCATTCTCATAAAAACACTGGCGGCTGCAATATAAGTTATTTAAAAAAAAATTTTTATGAAAAGGAATTTTTTGACAAATAAAGCAGATATTAAATTTTGTTTGAAGAAAACTAGATGATTTCCGATTTTTATCAAGCAAAATTAAAGTAATTTGTATACCTAATTTAAAAGAAAACAAATAATAAACCCTGGCTAAGTCTAAGACTATCGTAAACTTAATTAGCTTAATTCCAAGTTAGAACAGAAAACAACTGACTAGTACAAGTAACAGAGACTCCCTACCAGTGTCATTTACAAACTTTTGTTTTAAAATAAAAATATTACATTTTAGGTGAATAATCAACAGCTGTTTCATCAGTTGTTATTAATTCTGGTGTTATATCAACTAGAACTTCATAACTGAATGGTACACTTGAATATTGTTTCGAAAGTTGTGGTATATCACCTGGTGTTGAAACTGCAAACTAAAAAAAATCTACGTTATTTATTTCATTAACAATTAATATAGTTTCTATACCTTAAAACCTTCATCACCTTCCCCACAAATTGGATCAATATCACTTTTACGTCCATATATCAATATTAATAAACCATTTTCCATAACTGAATTATACATGCGATATGGAAATAATTGATTTCCATCTTCAGAAAAACCAGTTTCAAGTGTCCATGTTGTTGAACGATCATAACGTAATACGGTTTCAGGATCTTGATCACCATCATGTGCAAAATTAATCAATTCATCAGTGACACTTTAATGGAATAGCAAATTAATATAACAGAATTTTTAAATTAAATCTGGCTCTAATTATACGTACGTTCTTTTCTTATAAATATTTTCTAAAGGGAGCATATTAAAACTGTAACAGACTCCGAATTCAGTCACAACAATATCAAAAAATTGTTTATAATCATTAAAAGCCATAACATCATCAAATCTTGTTATTGGAAATAAAAAATCTGGTTTCGGATATAATTTTTTTAGCTCTTTAAGAAAATTTCCTTTATAAACTTTATCCGTGAAATTGAAAAAATCTTTATCGGTGTAATCACATACTTGTAAATTAATATCCATGAAGCGTTTTCTAAAACAAAATGCACAACACCATATTTTAAGAGCACATAATATAAATCACTAAATTAGAAGTCCGAACTTACTCCTGTCTATTCCATGTATCATAATTGGAAATATTTTCTCGAATTTGTGCTTCATAGTTCTCAAAACGAAATAAACTTGAATTCGATTTATTATCAGGACAAATTGTTATTGTTGGCATTGGAATTTGCCAAATTGGTGTTGATTTATCAGCAAAACTAACAATAACCGGTGTACTATGCCATTTTTTCCAAATATTTTGTATAAGAGTAACACAAATATAAATTGATATACCGAATATAATAAGCCAAAATACTCTTATCAGAAGGGCAAATGTAAAAAAATATTTTTAATTATCAAAAATTTTATTTGGTACAAATTAACATCAAATTACCTTTCAATCCAAGATCGCCTCCGTTCGCCAATATATCGAACACCGTGAATTGTGCTACATTCACAATATTCAGCAAACATAGCTTTATAAAATTCTTTTGTTTTACCTTTTTGTATTACATCTATAAATTCTGGTAGTGGCTCAGAGTTCGCTGATGAAATATTTGATATGTTAGATGTACTATCATCATTTTCACTTATAGGGCCGTCCGCGTTTAATCCATTAAGGTTTTTAGATTTTGCCATTTCGTCGAGACTCTGCAATTAGAAGTAGAATTATTTAACAAATATTTTTTTTTTGCATTTTTAAAAAGCAGTTAAATTTTTTCACCGGATCCCAATTTTAATAGACAATGTCATATTTCAACCCGAACTATAATTTAAAATAAAAATTTCCCCCCTCAAACATTCATTTTGTCAATTAAATAATTCTATCTTAAATTTTATTCAATTAATATTAGCTACCTAGAAAAATATTACTGCGAACGAAAATTGTGCCCTTCTTTATAGTTCTTATTAATTATAAGGTTCGGCTTCGGCATCAACAATGCGTAAATAATAAAAGTGGTGCCCTCAACGCTGCCACCCGACACTGAGCCAGCAGTAGACTCGATATCCATCACAGACCCTTCTCCGGTTAATCCATTCAATGTTCATGACAAAGTTCAGCAGATCACTCACGAACGCTCCCAAACTCTCCTCCGGTCCACCAAATCGATATCCTCTTGTAGATTGTAGATTTGTAGATTTGAACAACGGGGGCAACAGTGCACCGCGACCACGTATGAGGATCTATTGTGCGCCCCCATCCGACAACACACGCTCGAGACCCACCCTCCTGATGAACTCAAGCAACTTGTGACGACCAGAAGACCGTAACTCCGCCACCGTTAGAGCAAAGCCCCGTAGCACCTCCTCCCTCCTATGAGCAAGAGCATCACACACCCCAGGAGGTGCACCGAGGTCTCCCAATACTCCTCACAGAATCTGCAAGTATCCTCATTTTCCAGGCCCAGCCGACTGAGGTGTCCCCTAAGCCTGCAGTGACCCGTTAAAATGCAGGTGAGGACTCTCACCTGGTTCTTGACCATCTCTGTAATTTTCTTAAATCGCTTCTGGTCATAATCTCCCAGGAGCCCCTTGGCTTGCCGCAGCCCCGGAAGACTTCTCCAGCGCTCCGACCGCCTTCTTTCTGATTCCTTCCTTAATTCCAAACGGATAGTATGTATGGCCCAAGGAGGTGTGTTTGTTGCCTTCCTTGCAAGCGCATCAGCTGCCTCATTTCCTTCCACGCCCACATGGCCCGGCACCCAACACAGTGTGACCCGGTTTCAGCGATCCGATCGCAGCCCAGCTATCCGACATAATCATTATCTCCTGTCCCCGATACCACCTTTCCAGGCTGAACCGCACGCACATTTTAATGACGTGCAACTCAGCCCGAAACACACTCGGAAAAGTTCCCATAGGTTCGAAGAACTTGGTTCTTGGCCCAAACACCCTCGCACCCGTCTCAATACTGGTCTTTGACACATCTGCGTACCATCTGATAACGTATGTTCCCGCTGGGCGACCTGAAAAGTCACGCTAAATTTTTCTCGAAGCTGTACCTCCTTACCATATCGTCCCGAGGCATCGATAGGAGCGAAACCTCCCCAACAAGACGACGTAGTTCCCTCACTCCGATTATTCCAATTCCATTTCTCCCCAATCTTAAAATGGCAGCTTCCGCTGCCATCTCCACAACATCGATATCTTCTTACACAGCGTCTTCCCATTGCATCAAAGCGGGTCAATAGCAGAACAGTTTCTTTGTCCCCTTCCGAGTAAAGAGAGTCCCATCAAATTGCTTTATATCAGCATCAGTACAAATGCAAAGTCAATAGTTTATATTAATTAAAAATTTATGTTTATTCTTGAGTTAATTTTCATCTAGCTTAATCCTTCTACACAAAATTTGCCTTTTTTTCTACTACCAAATACACGTTGCCATAATTCTCAAAAATTTTATTTATCTAGTGGAAAATCTCAAACAAAATTTTTACTAAAAAATGAACAAAAAAAATTTCTATAACCTGTCAACCATTTTATTAATTTTTTTGGTTTTCAAATTTAAATAAGTAAATATCAATTAGAACTGTTCAGAAAACTAGAATGTGAGAGTTATTATAGAAATAAAAAAAAAAATTTTGTTGTAGGTCACATAAGTGGTGCAAAACAATAAAAACTTTTGCTAAATGACTACACTGTCAATTATTTTTATTTTCAAATTTTTCATATAGCACATTTTTTCATAGAAATTTTTTTGCTTTAAGCTCCTAATGCACAAGTTTTTATTTATAAAGTAGAAAATTTTCCTTTCAATTGAAAATGTTTACCATGATTACAGCACAAAAAAAAAGGTTTTTCAGGGCAAAGCCTGTTTTTTCACTACATACACCAGCAGTAGGGTACTTAGTGCCTAAAAGCGATTTAATACCACAATAAATATGCCACTTGCAAGCAGAACTTAAAAATTTAAACTCTTATTACAAAATAGTAATGAAAACAATCAACTTTCTAATTATTATTAGTCAAAAAAAAAGTTTTTATTTTAAAAAACAAAATTGTTGAAATAACAATAATTTCACACTTGTTTTTCTTTTTCTAAACTTTCATGTTCTAAAAATGCTCTGCAATAAAAGTGAAAACCAAAGAAAGCACAAAATACAAAAATTTTTAATTTTTTTCAACATATTTCAAAATTTAGTGCATCAAAAGTTTCCAACATTTTATTTTCTTGCCACCATTATGCAAGCAGAACAAACAAAAACAAAACTTCAAATGAGCGTTTTGTCATACCGCCACTATATTACTGACACTCTAAGTGCAACAAATAAACTACAATACAAATTAATCTACGCTCTACACAAAATGCAACAGACTGTATTTTAAAATTGAAACAAAATGCAAAAAATTCCACAACTAGTTATTTTTTGAAGCGTTATTGTTATTCTTTTGAAAATTAACTACGGCAAATATTTTATGAATAAAACTCACAATTAAAGAGAAAATATATAAATTGTTAATTTACTGTTAGTTTAATAAACTCATCCTGTGACAAATGCTAAATAACAACTGAACTAAAAATTTTCATTTTTTCATTAAAAATAAAAATTAATAATAGTAGGCTAAAAGTGAAAATAATAAAAAAAAAAACAGGTTATAATTTTGTAGGTGAGAAAAAATTAAAACAAAAAAACTTTTCATTTCTATATAACTTTCATAATTAAACCATTAGCAAAAAAAGGACAAAAAATAAAAATTAAAATAGCTCAAACCTTTAAATAATTGTTGTTTTTTATTTTAAATACCTAAATAGAATAATTAAGACGATATAGGGTTCTACAGAAAGGAAACGGAGTGATTTAGCACTAACACAAAATTTTAATGCAGCCAAAATTCTCACAAAATTTTGTACTTTTAATAAAATCACAAAAGTAAAAGCGTGTGACTTGCAGATGTTAATAAAACTTTTCGTAAACCAGCCACTAACAGATCTATCGGCAACAATATGCACCCCCGTTTGACATCTTTCAGAAATTCCGTACAACCCATACGGACATTCCAGGAAACTACCCCAAATTCCCAAACTGGAGCTCCCACCTCCATTTCCATATCGGCTTTTCCAAATAAATCCTCTTTTTTCCTATCTTAACTATTTCAAAATCAAGTAAGTTCTGGGAAGCCCAACAGATGTCTGACGACGCGAAAATAAATTGCTTTGGAAAAGTGGCCTAGACAATCAGTGTATTACCTCTTGTTTACTAACAAGGGAGCCGTTTCTCTTGTCCTATTTCTCCACAGATGTAAAGCTTATTTTCTTGTGTATAATACTTTTGATTTCCTCCTCTAACAGAAGCGTCGAACGGTCATTTCCTGTCAATCAAATATTTCTCAAATACCGTCGCACCCTATGTCGATTAACAGAAACAAAACTATGTATGTATAACTAAATTATACTATAACACTTTATAAAATTTACACTCATTACACTATAACTTTAAAAGAACAAACCAAAAAATGAGACAACCATCAACATTATATTATCATTATCATTATTAACAAAAAAAGTATAACAATATGATAATAATTATTACCCTTCGGTTTTCATTATGTCGTTTATAACAACTTTAATGTGACAAATGACAGTTATATTTCACTTGAGAATTTCATTTAATTTTCAGTAAATATTAAGTTTGTAAATAAATTTTTTATATTATTTATATATATACAGTGTATACGTATATATAAAGAAGAGCATTTGTTTATGTTCCAGAATTGGTTCTCTTCTTTTTTTTTACCATAAACTTTTTAACTTAATAATTTAATGCATGCAACAAATTCTCAAATAATAATAATGATTCACCATAATTCAAAAGCGTTGTGTATGGTTTACTACACTGTACATATTATGTGGTGTGGTGAAATAAGAAAATATTTTGTTACACGTTGCATTTTGTATAATTTACATAAGAGACAGGTAAGACCTATACACTTAATAAATTAATTGTTTACAATTATGTAATTACATACACATACTCATATACATTTAAAGTAAAACACGATATATGTGTACAGAAAATGATGAGGTGAGGTAAATATGAGTTATGAGTGGTTATTAAAATTAAATTTAAAATGTAAAAAAAGGAGAAAAATTTAAAATATTTAAACATGCAAGTATTTTGCAAACGATGTTTCCTTATTTAACTAACAAATAATTCAACTTTTTGCGAAAGAGAAATGACAAATAACTGACACGTCATGGTGATTAAAAATGTCAAATATATTTCGTTTCGTTATAGCACATTGCACATTATAATGAATTTTATTTTTTAAGCTTTTACAATTTATAAACAAAAAATAAAACATTTGACATTTGAATAATAAATTTAAGAACATTGAAAAATTCAAGGATCATTTAAGTGTAGAAGGAAAATTAAAAGGAAAAATTTTGAAATTGTGAGAAAATTTCACTTGGAAGCTTCAAGTAGGGATGATTGGCACCCTAGGATATTCGATATCTTCGTGCTATAAAGTAGTATACCGATCGACGTGCACCTGCGGTTTAACTTAAATAGAAAATGTCCAAGAAAAAAATTCACCTATCACGTCCGACACCCTGACTGCTGTTAAAGCAATGAGCCCATTTTGACTGCAGTAAAGTTCAGTGCTACTACCACTGCAGTATTTCGGTAGACTAAACAGTTTAGTAAGACGCAGGCGGGTTACATTTCACTGAGTTCTGGGTCATGTTGGCATGAAATGCAATGAGGTCGTTGACATGTCAGCGGAGGTAGAGACTAATCCATCCTTTACTGAAATGAAACCCTTCTGCGGAATCAGTCGGCTATTTGTGTAGTGTAAGATTATGAGGAAGAGATTGAGAAAATGGGAATAGAGCCCTTGCGGAGTCTTCCGCGTTTTCAAAAAGTGAAGGGTAACTACGACTAGAAACAATTCAATAATACTATTGCCACGGGGAACAATTAGGTGACACACTGGGCACTTGATGGGGCTTTTCAATCGTCAGGGTACTTAAGTAAATAAAGTCCAGCATACCAATTACATTCTACCTACACAAATTTCAAACTCAACAAATTGTTAACAAAATTATTAATTAAGACACAAACCATTTTCAAATTTCCATTATTTTTGTTAACATTTTAGAAATTTTAATTATTTATTAGGAAAATTTCAAAAAAAAAATTAAAATATTTTGTAATATAAATTCCCATAAGAGAAAGGAAAGCAAAAATTAATGAAAAAAAATTGTAAAAAAAACACTCCCAATGCTATTAAAATAGATTAATGAAAGCATATTAAATAATAATTAAGTGGTAAAAAATTTTGACTAGATTGACCATTAAAGACGACAATAATGGTAATGGCACAAAGGTGTCATAATTTTAAACATTTAATTTCCTCCTTCAAAAAAATTATTACCCATGTCGCCGCCATTTTTTATTAAATTTAATATTACTTACATAAAATTAAAATATAAAATTAAAAATTTACGAGTAATTATTTTACGTGAACTTAATAATTATTACGTTTTCGGTAGAGTCTTTTTAATAAGAAGCTTATAATGCCTTTAATAATAATTTTTTTTTTTCTTTTAAAAAATGTTTTAATTAGGTCATGAATATTCTGACCCATTGTTAAAAGATTTTATTAAATTATAGGAAATTAACATTAATTATGTCCTTAGATTGTTTACAGAAATTAATGTACTCAAAAATTCATTGATAAAATTCCGTCCTTCTTCTTGGTTCTCTACAATGAGGAAAAGAAATATCATTTAAGAAAATGTGAAAAATTTTTGATTTTCATACACCGTAATTGTCTCATGGTATAACTTTGTTATCATTATAATTCAAAAATCTAGCAAATATTTGCCCCATTTGAAACTCATAATTGAATTTAGCAACTGAAAGCTTCTACATTCCCCAAATCGATCCAACCAGGCGTCTCGTATACCTTAATCTGCCTCACTAATTTAAACGGCTATATTCCAATTTTAATCAAAAATTTCTACATTAAGCACATAAAATATAAATTTTTAAGAACAATTTCAAATTATCCACCTAAAAAAAAGAAATTAATCTTCGTTCAAAGTAACGCAATCACTTTTTATCAATTCACTACCGTACCCTTGCCTTTTATAATATTTTTCAAAATCGTTATTTAATCAGCAAAATGTTAAAAATCTAAAACATAAAACTTATCTACATCCTCTAATAAACCTTTAAAAATACTAATTGATAAATTTTCACCTGTTTTTTATTAACCATCGCGTATACCTACATTAAGTTATGCCGAGTTTCTTTCCATAATCCTTTATAAACACAATAATCCTCTCTTTACATAACAACAAAAATTATCTTTTGATGCCATTTTGATACAAATTTCAGACTCACACCAAAAAAACGAAACAAGGATGTAGAAGCAGATGGAAATCTAAAGAATCTAAGGAATATATCTGAAAAAAAAAACAGAAAAAAAAGAAATACAATTTCAAGATAAAGCAGTTTTTATTTCAGTTCTTAAAATATTTGTACAAGTGCTATAGGAAGGAATAATTGTGTCAACAGAATAGATTATCAACACTTAAAATTCAATCAAAACAATGAAAGTGTTTGTGTAAGAAAATCCTAATTATGAAACTCAACGACAATTAAGAAATCAAAGAAAGTAAGGACAAACAAAAATTTTCGATATCAAAACTGTTAGAATACTATTTCCTATATGTAGTTGTAAATTTTTTGTCACACCATCGACCTCTGTGATCATAAATGTATTAAAGGGAGCCTCAGAAGCTACAAGATTTTGGCTCCATCAGACAACACAGCTTTCCTCAAGGATCTGGTATTTAACATTACAAAAGCGGAACAGAACCATGAAGTGGCTCATGAAATAAACTTGTTTTGGTATTCGGAGAGCGTCAACAACAATTCCATTAACACTAGATAACTATCGAGACAGATACAAAACTACTAATAGCTTTCTATGCACCATATATATAGTACAAAAATTGTCGAATGAAACCATCGAAATTTCTCTGCCTATGGTCCACGTTGTAGGAAGGGTAAAATTCAAAAAATTTAATTTGCCGCTCATATTGATAATTCATAATCGAAGTAAATAGCAGAGCGAGTTCGTGCGAAAGGTTACCCACGTCGAAATGCTTCCGAGAGAATATTTCTAAAATGATGTATGTAGCGTTAAGAAGAGAGTGCAGGGTGTCGCCTCTACTTGTTAGAGAATGGAACGGCAGAGCATCTGCTATGCGAGTGTGAATTTGTGATTAACTTAACGTTAAGATTTTTCGGGCTTCTTCCGACTCACAGCAGACGTACTAAGATTCGTTATGGGATTCACAAAAGATTGTATTGATCGAGGTGAAAAAGAAAATATCCGATACCTTAATGTCATTTGCGCATAGAATCGAATTCCAAATATATTTTATAATGTGCGTGTTCCAGTTACTAATTCATCACTCATTTTAGAGCAAGGAAACTACAGGGCACCTGAAATTCACCATCTAAATGCTTAAATGCACAGAACGGAATAAGTTAGTTAGAAATTTGAAAAGAACGTTAATTCAACTTTAGAAATATTTTCAACAATTTTCTTCGTACGAAAAATTTTCTAGACCTTCTTAGTTTTGTTGCTTTTATTGCTTTTTTATTTTTCTTATGTCTAACAATTAATTTAATTATAATTATTCTCTATTAACAGTTACAGAATTAAGTCACACTAACATTTTTTTTTTATTATTCTCACTTGTTCCTTTCATTCACTCTGTTTCTTCTTGTTTTTTGGGTTATTATCATCGCTTCAATGTTCATTAATGAGCCATTTTTAATTTCCTAGTTATTTTTTTTTATTACCTAAAATTACATTACGATAGTTTAAAAAGTTTAGTTGTATTCGTCATTTAAAGGGAATCAGGTGTGCTTTTTTCTATTTTCCTTTTCTATTTTTTCATTGCCGAAACAAGTGAAAAGTACTCGTACCTTGGAAAATTTTATTGAAAAAAAGGAGAAAGTTTAACTTTGTCGATATTAAAAAACCATAGTTCGGTTTTTTGTTTTTTATTTTCTTGTTTTTTTTTCCTGCTCCTGAACAACTTTGTACGTCTCATTAAATTAAAATGGCTTCCGGAAAATTAAAACAAGAATATAATAACAGTGATAAGGAGAACTATGATAATGTTGATAATGATAATGATAAACCCAAAAATACTATATTGGAGGAATATTGTGATTCGAGTACAATACATGGTGTTCGATATTTTGGTGAAACATATAGACCAAAAATGGAAAGGTAGAAACTCTAAAGTTATTTTAATCTTTATATGAAACTCACCTCTCTTCCTCTTTTGAAAAATTTTCCAGAATTTTTTGGTTTATTATATTTATGGTATCGGTTATATGGTGTGCAAAATTAACGTGGCAAGTTGTTGAAAAATGGTATAATCATCCAGTCATAATATCATTTGAAGAGAAATCAACATCAATTAGTGCAATACCATTTCCAGCTGTTACAATATGCCCAAATAATCAACATAGAAAAGAAATTGGTAATTTTTCATTTATGGCACTTATCGATGAATTATTCGATCAAGAAGAAATATCGAATCAAACATTAGAAGATCTTGAATATAAAGGCTATGGTGAACTATTAAATACATTTTGGACATTTTGTTCAGAATCACTTTATGACAGTTTAAAATATAAATTACCAAATATAACAATGATACATACACCAATTGAAAATATTTTAAGTTTATATCCAAAATTTGACGAAATATTTGAAGCATGTTATTGGAAAGAGAATCCATTAAAATGTATAGATATTTGGAGAAAAAGTATAACTGGTAAAGGAATTTGTTATACATTCAATCATCTTAGTTATGAAAATACTTTAAGAAAAGAAACGTAAGATTTATTTTTATTAAAAATTCCGGTGCATTGCATATTAAATTTTTGAATATTATAGACTTCATGATGATTTCTTATTGGATAGTGCAGAATCAATAAATATAACATGGAATCCAGAAGATGGTTACTTATCAATTGATTCGAATGCAACAAAATATCCCAGAAATGTTTTATCAGCAGGTTTTGAAGTTGGTTTAACAATTGATTTAGTTGGTTTAAAAAAAGATTTAGATAGTTATTGCGGTGGTGTTATACCAGGATTTACGGTATTTTAAAATCAAAAGTTGAAAATATTTTATAAACAATAATTTTCTGATTTAGATGATGTTAAGTTCACCTGATGAATTACCAAATTCACAAGGAAATTTTGTTAGAATACCATTTAATCAAAATACATTGGTAGCAATTAAACCAAATATGAAATCAGCTACATCAAGTTTAAGAAATTATTCACCACATAAGTAAATTTCACCTTAAATTTAAACTGTATAAAATTAATAAAAAATTGCATATGTTTTAGGCGACAATGCTATTATAGTGATGAAAGAAATTTAAGATTTTTTAAAGTTTATACACAAAAAAATTGTGAATTAGAGTGTATTGCAAATTATACATTGAATATGTGTAATTGTGTCAGTTTTTATTTACCACGTAAGTATCACGCGAGCATGCAATTTTTAGTTTTGCAATTACTGTCTGGTTTTAAAATCGTTGCGCGCACGTCTAGCATCTAAACTATTGTGTCAATTCAAATCGATTACATTACAAAAAATTATAAACTGTTTGACTGCTCAATTTCATGCGATCATACAGTTGCATGTGTGCTCGTTTGGTTGTAAACTGTTTGATTAAATAATCTTATTATTAAATTGCTTTGTTTTAAGCTACCCGCTGTTATTAAATTGCCGCTGCCTCAAATCATTTGATTTTGCCACATATATCTTAAATATAGTAGATTTAATATTTCTCTTTTCATATAGGTACTAAAAATACGCCCGTTTGTAATGTTGAACAAAAAAATTGCTTAAGGGAAGCTATGAAAGAAATGGCAATTAAAGAAAGTTTCGATATAAACAATCAATGTGATTGTCTTGCCGCCTGTAATACAATTTATTATGAAATGGAAGTTTCACAATCAGAATTAGTTGACGAACGAAATTCGACAAAAACGGATTTATTGTAAAAATTTAATTAGGAATTTTAATTAAATGTAAAATTTTATTTCGAAATTTTTATTTTAGTGCAAGTGTTACACTATTCTTTAAAGAAGATCAATTTTGGACATCAAAACGTTCTGAATTATATTCGATGACAGAAGTTGTTGCTAATATTGGTGGTGTACTCGGTTTATTTATGGGTATATCAGTTTTAAGTGTTTTTGAATTGATTTATTTTATAATGTTACATTTTTGCCGAAAATTTAAATCAAAGAAAACTTAATAAAAAAATTATAAAATTTTAAATGTTTAATAAAAATAGCTATGTGCAACCTACTTATATTTTAAAATTATAAATAATGTTTTATTGAAATAAAAATATTAAAAATTATTTTTAGTCGCTGTTTATATATAATAAATTATATAAAAATATTCTATTTTATTCTCAGAATATATGGAAGAATTGAATTTTGTTTGTTTCTCTAATAAAAACCTATACTTTCAATTACATGTATGTTACGTGTTATTTTGAGAATTCTTTCAATAATACTATGCAGAAACGTGTAGTATATAAATAAGGATTGACACTAATATTGCACAAATTTAATATTCCTAAAGGATTTCAATATTCTATATTATATATATAGAGAGAGAGAGAGAGTAATTAACGAAATTAAATTAAATAAACATTAAAAAAAATAAAAACAAATTTTTTTTTTTATACTTTAAAACGCGAACAAAATTACAACCGCTTAATTCAGATGAAATTGTTCGCGTACAGAGTGAGGAGGAATTAGAATTCGAATACGTGGGTATACGACAATAACTGATGACAATATGCATTCAGTAGATTATGGACAACCTGGAAATGAAACCACATAGCATATGGAACCGCAAAATAAAAATATTTAACGCGTGTGTTAAGTTAGTGTTGTTTTATGGAAGCGAAACATGGTTGGTGTCCAGAATTATACATGGTTTCCTAAATAAATACCTAAAAATTATATGCAAAATATTCTGTCCACGAGGAATTATGAACCAGAAGCAATAATGTAATGGAGAGACAAGATTAATTAGAATATCAAATAAGAAGATGGAAATGAAAATGGATTGATTATATTTTAAGAGGCCTAGTAACATCAGTAAAACGTCAAACCCTGAAATGAGACAAGTAGAAGAAGAACGCAAAAAGAATTGGGGCTAACCAATAAAACGTGATCAAAAACAAAGAGACTGGCACATAATAGAAAATGTTGAAAGGGTTGTGTTGAAGGCCTATGTTCCCTATGGGAATAACAAGAATAATGAAAAAAAAAAAATCAGATGAAATTAAAATAAGAACGCAATATGGACTAGACATTTTTTTACAAGTACCCTTATACTTATAGTCTTCCACAGGTTCGGTTCTGACTTGTTCTGCGCCCTACACGATTCTCAAAGAGTAAGTGCTGAAAAGGTTTTATTTTTAAGGTTTTAATGGCGCCTCAGTTTTACGGCGCTCACCACAAATACTCACTCTGCATATATAGTAGATCCGGCACTGGTCTTCCATAACAATGACATGTTCATGTTCGTTTTAAAATTTTCACACCCATTTTTCATGTTATCTGTTTATTTTTCGGTTTTCTTTTTAATTTCACCAGTAGTTTTTGCATATCTTTTTGATAAAAACAAAAATCAACAACCATACTCAATAATTTTAAGATTCTCACATTTTTTTTAATTATACTTGGAAAAATGAACGAAATCATCTCAATTTTTATAATTAATCCTTTCTCTCTCTTTTTTTTTCTATTTTTTTGTTTGTTTTAAAATAAATATTTTAAAAATCCTTTATATAATGGCAGTTATAAATTGGCAGTCTTTGGACAAGTTCAATCAAATAAATATTGTTTTTTTTTAATAAGTTTTTAAAATCCAATTGAAAGAGCCATCCATAGTGTATAAAAACAGTATGAAATCGGAAAAAATTAAAAATTTTTTTAAACAAGATAGGTTAGATATTTTTTTTTATTTGCCGAAATTATCACTGATAATTTACACAATTAAATTATTATTTAATTTAGTTTAAAAAAAATTATCAATGATGATTGGGATTATTCAGATGCAGGTTCATCGGTAATAACATTACAAGGATATCCAAAAGAATTTCGCACTAGAAAATTAATAAAATATTCGGAGAAAAATAAGGCAATCAAAGCTATATTTCAAGAATATTGTGATAATTCAACTATACATGGTGTACGTTATTTGAGTGAAGAACGTCGTCCGATATGGGAAAAGTATGCATAATAATAATTATAAGAAACAATTAAATGGAAATTGTGTTTTCTAATTTATTTATTATTAGGATATTTTGGATATTTGTGTTCAGTATGTCAATATATTTTTGTATAAATTTAATTTTAAATATATATAAGAAATGGGATGAGAAACCGGTTATTGTTAGTTTTTCGGAAAAATCAACACCAGTCTGGAATATACCATTCCCGGCAATAACATTATGTTCAGAAGCAAAAACCCAACAAGAAATATTCAATTTTACAAAAGTATATTTAGATGTGTATGAGAATCGTTTTAAAAATGGTACAGTAAATTTAGATGAAAATTTTATTACACAAAATGAGTAAGTATATTTGTTAGAAATTACGACACCAGTTACTCGAGATACGACATTTTCTAATACGACATTTTTTCGACTTGCGACACAAAAACTCGTGATACGACATTGAAAAATTTTGCAGTAGTTCATGTATTATTTTTATTAATTTAGCGACAATTCGAATTAAATTTTTGCTATTAAAAATGTCGTATCTTGAGCTCCTGGTATGATTTTACCAAATAAAGTGAATGTATTTGAATTTTGAAAAAAGTTGAACTTTAATTAATCGAAAATTTTGGAATGGTCTTTGATATTAAAGTTTAATACTAGAGAAACTTTTAAGTTTGTTTTAAGTAATTATTCAAAAACATGGTCAAAACTTGGTTCGCCCCTGAGTTTTTTGTTTGATAAGAACCAGTTTTGCAATAATTTTATAATTAGAACAGAGAGTTTTTCAATTTCACTATAAAAAAAGTCATAGCAGGCATTTCTATTGTACTTTTGCAACTGATATTGGACTCTAGACAAAAACCAGTTATTAGGCACAAATCGACTATTATTAAAATTTAATGCAAAAATTTAATAAAACGAGAACTTCTTAACAAACGAAGTAATCGAAAATACTAAAAAATAAAAATTCAAACTGACATCTAATTTTAATTTAAATTTAAATTAATTTTTATTATAATATTATTTCTATTTCCAGGACAAATTATTTACGTGCCATTCTACAAATTTGTAATGTTGACTTTTTAAAAAAATTAAAGTTTCCAACAAATTTTGAACCAATTGATATTGTCCGGACTCTAGATGAATTTGAACCAGATTTTAATCAAACTTATCCATTTTGCAAATTTAATAATGAAATAACATTATGTGAACAATTAGAATTTTTCAAATCTTATACAGCTGACGGTATTTGTTATACTTTCAATGGTCTACCATCTACTTACATTTATAAGGAAAATACGTAAGTAATTGCAATTGTGTATTATAGAACAATACCGAAATACCAAATTTTGTTTCTAACATTCATAACTTTTACAACTAAATTGAGTTTTTTTTTTGATTGGCAACATCCCCGCGGTCCAGTACACAATATCAAGAATTCCTAGAAAATTATGATTTAAGTTTATACCAAAATGTTAGTTGGAATTTAGAAGATGGTTATAATGACACATTCGGAGACACATACAGAGCAACATATCCACATCGAATATTTTCAGCATATTTTCGTGGAGGTTTTTTTATAATTTTACAAGCATATGGACAAAATACTGACCATATTTGTAAAGGAGTTGTTAAAGGATTTAGGGTAAGTATTTCAAACAACTGTCATTAACATTTTAATGTGAATTTGGTATTTTTATACAGGTTCTTTTACATTCTCCTGATGATGTTCCATATATTACCAAAAATTACATCAGAATTCCATTAGATAAAGAGATTTTAATACGTATCAATCCAAATATAATACAAACATCGGAAGGATTAAGACATCTTTCGCCATTAAAGTAAGTAAAGTTGAAAAATATAAGGATAACATCTGGGAGAGCTAAAAAAAACTTGCTCCTGAACATCAACATTCTTTTAACAAATTTCATTTTAGACGACAATGTTATTTTGCAAATGAGCGCCATCTAAAATTCTTTAAAATATATTCACAAGCGAATTGTGAAATAGAGTGTCTAGCTAATATTACTTACCAGAAATGTGGATGTGTTAAATTTTCCATGCCAAGTATGTACTTATTTATTATTTTCTTTTCAGCCATCCGAAACTTAATTTAAAATTTTAAGGAGAACCTGGCACCAAAATATGTGATATTAATGAAATTTTGTGTTATAATGAAGCTGAAGATGATTTAATACGTAGAGAATTCGAAGAGGGACATCAAGATACAAAATTAAATTATCGTCCTAATACAACATGTAATTGTTTACCTGGTTGTACATCATTAACATATGAAGCTGAAATATCACAAGCTGCTGCTGATTTTGAAGGTTCTATACGTGCACAAAATGAATCTCAACATTTTGAAGAGAGTCCAGGGTAAATTTTTGGTCGTAAATCTAAAATACAAAAAAAATAAAAATTTTAATATTTTAGAATTAGAATGACAAGATTATCAATATTTTTTAAAGAATCACAATATATAACATCAAGACGTTCCGAATTATATGGCATGACCGATTTTCTAGCGAATTGTGGTGGCCTTTTAGCACTTTTTATGGGTGTTTCGGCATTAAGTTTAATTGAAATTTTATATCATTGTAGTATAAGATTGTTAACAAACATTAGAATGAGGAATGAATCACAAAAAATTATTGAAAATTTGAGACAGGAAGATTTAAATACACAATTTCATCAACAATATGAAGATTTGTTCAAGAAGAGTGAATAATTAATCTTGTAATTGATTTTTAATTTTATAAAATTTCATAGTATTGATTTCTATAAGTGTTAAAAATAAAATGAAATAAAAATGAAAATCTTAAATGTATACAAAATAGTACAGAACCATTGCTTTTTTAATTCTCAACTCAGGAACTAAATGCATAGTTCGATTTTAGAAGAGTATGAGATATGTTAGTTTTACCAAATGTCAGGTCTGGCTTTGACTATATATTGAAATTGGGAGGTAAATTATAATATTGCGGTTCTGCGCAGTGGGAATAATGTGCGGAGAATACAAGTGCATATACGAAAGTATCCGTTTACAGGGATGGTTGGTAGGTAGTTACCGAGCTGATCGCCTGTTGAATGTGAAGTTTTCCAGTCGCAGATTCTACGGCAGGATCGGTTGAAGGAGGGCGTACTATTATTTACTTATAACAAGACGTTAATGGGGGCGAAAGCGACTTAGTAGATTTTGTTCTACATATAGAATAAATATGGGTGGTGGGTTTCTGGTCTTAGCGGAATATAGAAAATAAGAGAGCTGACTATTTTTCTGAGACTGAGGCGGTTGAGGAAGAGTTTCTGATTTACCAGCCCTTCCGTTTGCCAATTAAAGATTGATTGTGTGGAGCTTGGAATATTACTTTAGGTGTTGACGTGTCATTACCTGTTGGGTAGGAGGAGCAACAGATTGGGATCTATGTTAGAAGTTTTAGCATATTGAGGCGTTTAAGAAAATCAAAAGTCAAGACAATTAAATTTCATTTATAATTAAGATTTTGTATAATTAATGTACCAATGGACAGGTTTTCAAATCATTTAGAATATACTCAATAATTTAGAAATAATTTCATGTCACAAATCATTCGGAGATCATTATAATTAGAGATGCTTATACAAGAAAATTTTCCAAACCTATACTAAATTCAATTCATATCTCAACTAACAAAGCTATATTAGAGTCTTAAATGAATAACTTCATTCTTATTAAAACACAATTAATTTAATTAATATGCACTTTAATTTTCATGTTACATTGAAAATTTGGCCCCAAATCACTAGAGTGTTAATCATAATACACACAACGTGTAGACAATAATTTCAGTATTATAAATTATTTTTCATATAAAATGTGACTTTTGAACTTTGGCTTTTATTATTATAAGACACACGCTCTTTGTAATTTAATTTAATTCCTATAAAACCTAATTACATTTGGGAATTTTCTTTATATACACACATTTTAAAAATTTTTATTCATTTTTAATATACGCACATACATAATAGTTATAATAACTACACATGTCTATATATATATAATTTTATTCACAATAGATTAGTAAATATTTCAAATTAATTTTCTACTCTTAAATTAAACACTAATTTTTATTTTTCTTATTACAAAATTGCTTGCGTGTTTTTATATTCAAAAGACAAATAATTTCATTCAAATGCTCTAGCACAAATACAATATTACAATTACATTTTATTCCATTCAATTCATATTATTAATTTTATTATATATTTAAAAAAAACCACACACACCTCATTATTAAATTCATCATTTTTTGTTGAAAAATTAAAGTCCAAACAATAATTAATAACAAAACACAAATATAAACGTTTGCCCTACATTATTTAAACTTTTAAAATTAAAAAATGAAGAGCAATATGACTCCAAGTTAATAAAACAAAAGCAAAAAATTACTGCGAAAAATTCATGGTGGTCTTAAAATAAATTTTTTTTTAATTTCATTTTAGTTATCAAATAAACGCCTATAAGAAATGTTGTACAGCTGCTATAGAAATTACTGAATTACTTTCTATATAAATAATAAAAACGGGTATCCGTGGCTTTTAAATATGGTAAAAAAATCAAATATAATTGAAATTCCAACAATTCCGAATGAAAAAAGCAGAAATCGTAAGAATTCAAATGGAAAAAATAGGTATAAAATTGGAACATATTAAATTTTAAAATAAAAATGATTGCATATATTTAGGTTACTGCATAAATTTAGGCGAACGAAAACTGCGATTAAGTATTTAAAATAATAAAATCAAAATACACCACTGTTAACAGCAGAAATGTTTAACAGTGTTACCGTTATTAATGTCCATATACCAACCACATATTTGATATAAGAAAAAATTTGTTTAAACTAATAAACAATTAAGTGTTTTAAGGCTCCGCCAGATATGCAATTTTTAGTTTTGCATTTTGTTTTAATTTTTAGGTTTATGTTTAAGCTCGCACACAAGCAACTATATGATCGCATATAATTAAGCAATCAAACAGTTTGTAATATTTTATAAACTAATTGCCACTTTTCGTTAGTCCAATTTATTTAAATTGACCCAATTGCTTAGTTGCTTAGATGTGCGCGCAACGATTTTTCAATTAAACAATAATTACAAAACTAAAAACTGAATGCCTGTCAAAGCGCTTTTTAATTCTGTCAAATTAAACTTTGATAAATCAATATTGATGCATCCATTATGAACAACTTAGCGATAAATTATTATTTTATTTATAAAATTATTTCTACTTATTTCTTTATTTCCACTAGTTCAACAGTAGATATTCCGGAAGATAAAAATCAAATAATAAATAATACAGCACTTGATGGCGCAGCCAATGTTTTAAATTATACAAAACCATTAGAGAAGACACCAAGTGATGCATCTGCTTTACATTTAATTAAAAAAGGTACAAAAATACAAGTTTTACGTGGTATTATAGCCGATTATTCAGATGCAACATCAATACATGGTATTAAATATTTTGGTTCAAGAAATAAACGTTGGTATGAACGTATAATATGGTTTAGTTTGGTATTAGCATCAATGTATTATGGTACAATATTAACAATACAAACATGGACTAATTGGTATAATAATCCAGTTATTGTTGGTTTAGCTGAATCATCAACACCAATATGGGAGATACCATTTCCAGCAGTTACAATATGCCCATTAATTAAATATCAACGTAGTGAATTAAATTTATTAGATAATTTAAATAAAACAACGTTTGAAAAATATTTAGAATATTATAAAAATGATGATAATCGTAATGAAATGCCAATGGAAGAGTAAGTTGTTTTAATTATAGTTACACATTGATATCAAACATCGTTGAAAGATTTTGTATGATTCGGATTAAATATTTCATTATCAAACAATGCAAGAACGTTCCAACATCAAGCTTTCAACTTATTTTCAATCAAATTGAACAAAATCGATTAACAATGTTTGATAGTGTAAGCATTCAACAAAAACGTATTATTCAATTTCCGACTATACTTAATACTCTCACGTATATACTTAAACATGTTCTAATTATTTGAAATTTAAACATGTTTGAGAGTGCAATTACAACTCATACAAGTTTTCCAAAGTAAAAAATCACAATGCTACTATAATTTTTTCTAATTTTTTTTCATATTTTCATATTTCTATTCATCCTTTCACACAGTATACAAAAATTGGAAGCAATATCACATGTTTGCATTATAAATTTATTATTTTTTGAAAAATTTAATTTCCCAAATCATTCAACATTAAATGAACAAATATCAAGAGCAAAATCATCAGTAATACAAAATACAAATAGTAATCGATCTATTACACCAACAACAACAATTCAACAAAAATATCGAAAATATAAAAGAAATAATTTTAAATTACCAAATATTTTACAATCACTTGCACCGCAAATTAATGAAACGTTAGAAATTGTTAAATGGCGTAAAAGTGAGCTAATAAATTTTAAGGATGAAATTAAATATGTACTTACTGATGACGGTGTATGCTTCAGTTTTAATGCATTGGATGATTCAAAAATATTTCGTGATCCGAATTTTGGGTACGTAAACACAGAAAAAAAAATAATAATAATGCAATTTTATAAATTGTACGTTGTTTGGCTGCACTACTTAATATTGTGTGAGTGAATGTGTGTATGGGTTTTTTATTGTTCCCTTTCTCGTTTTGGAGTTTTTTCTTTGTTGATTTTCAAATTAATATTTTTCATTTACAGTGATATTTTTTTTTTCTGCGTTTAATTTATCCTTTTTTTTTCTTTTAGCCCATTTATATTTTTAATAGTTCCACAAGGATTTTAAAAATTTATTTTTCATTCTTGTTTTTTCTTTTTCGTTGCACAATTTTCATTTCCATCCCATTTTTAAATACTTAAGTACATACAACTTAAGTACACATTGCGAATTTTAAAATTATAACAAAAACTCTTAGTCCATTTAAAATGTCCATGCATAAATGTGTTCTCAAATAACGGAATAAAAATTTTAGTCGGGCAGTATAGGGTATAATCTTATATTCCATACCATACCGGTTCCAGAAATTTAAATATTATTTGATATTTTGTCGATTAAGAGTGACGCTAACTATACTAGAATGACTTTTTCAATCATCTTAACCGTTATAGTACGAGGTGACATTTTGAACAAATTCGTCGTTAACTGCCATCTCCCAACGGAAATATTAGTTTGAAATCTGATCAACTAGTAAATAGGAGAACGGGAACGGGTCGTCCCCCTTTTGTAAGTTACCTACTTCAAGCTATTAATGGCTTGATTAAGCTAAAATCAAATCTTCAATGGGTGGATAAATAGGAATATCGTCACGCATCAGAGAAAATATCAACTGATAATAACTTTGTTACTTAAAACTATTACGTACCTTCAACTCAACCGAAGAGAGAGCATACTATTGCAATTCATAAGAATTTGATTCTATATACAAACATTTTATTGTTCAGATTCGTTACTCTAGCCCCATAATTGTTCAATATTACTTGATATTTTCAACATATAAACCATTTTCTCTTCTCTCTACTCTCCTCATATTGTTTTAATGGATTAAATCACTACAGAAGCAAAAAGAAATTACACAAAATAGTAAATTGTTTACACTTAATTCACAACTTATATTTCATAGAATGCATTTTTTATTCAAATGTGTGTGTTTTTGTGTGTTTTAATAATAATTGGTAAAACACAATAGTTGCATATGTTGTTTAAAACTCTAATATTTGATAATGCAACAAGTTGCTAATAGAACAAAATATTGTTGATAAAAATTAAATGTGAAAAAAAATTGAATGCGATGATTCTATATTTCAAATATCCTTGTTCAAATATCCTTGTTTGCAAGTATTAAATTTCTCTTTTTATCCTTTTTTCTGCTATTCTTCTACTGTTTATTATTTTCGTTTCTTTTTTAACTAAAAATTACGCTAGTTTCCGTACATTTTGTTCAAATGAATATTGAAAAAAAATGGCTGCTAATAACTCTTTTTTTTTTCTTTCTTCATCATTTCTATTTTCTTGTATCACACATGTACATTTTGGGGGGGATTTCTCTCTACACATACTTTCTGGTAAACTGTGATAAATTGCAAAAGATTTCAAAGGAAAAATTTTACAAGAAAAATTCCATGGACCCTTGAGAAAGGTTATAAAAAAAAAGCTGGTACAACAACATATCCAAGACGTGTTCTGGCTGGTGATGTTGATGAAGGTTTTTATGTTAAATTGAAAGCTAATTTACAAGATACCGATAATTCATGTGGTGGAAAATCGCAAGGATATAAAGTAAATTTTTCTTAGATTTTTGTTTTTTTTTTCAATATTTTTTTAATAGTTTGAGTAAATAAATCAAAAAATCAAAATACATTATTGTTTACTTTTCTATGTTGATTTTGTAGATAATTTTACATACACCAAATGAGCTGCCACTAGTATCAAAACGATTCTTTCGTGTTCCGTACAAACAAATTATATCGGTTGCAGTGAAACCAAATATGATAACAACTTCAAAAGACGTCCGTAGTTATGACCCTGAAAAGTAAGTATAGTAGTTTATAGATAAACTTAAAACTAAACCATCATTGGCGAATATCTAGGCCCTCGGAAGATAAATTTAGACCCAATACATTCTAGAGATGCTTTTTTTTTTGAACAAAGTGTATTTAGTATTAAAGAATAGGTAATTACGCGAAGGCTTTTTTGTGTACGTATTTGTACCTAGGACAATTTAGTCGCAGAATTCGAGAATATGTTCCGATAGTCTAAAAAAGAATACCATTTGTTCTCCCATATTTGTTTACAAAGAAATGAGTTCCGCGTATATATTGAATACTAATTGAGACGATTACTCTTCCTCCTCGGCAATCTCTTTAAATCGTTAGCAACCCATTCCTAAGAGGTGTTTATCATTTAATTTGTTCTTTACTTATAAATATTACTTGTTAAACTTTATTTAAATTACGAAATCTTAATTAACAAATAAACTGCATCAATTTTAATTTATTAAATTTTTAATAAATGGAATAAACTAACTAATATTTTTTAAATACATTAAGACGACAGTGTTTCTTCAATAATGAAAAATATTTGAAGTATTTTAAAATTTACACCCAAGCAAATTGTGAACATGAATGTTATACTAATGCAACACAAATTGCCTGCAACTGTACAAAATTTTACATGCCAAGTAATTCATTATTTAAATATTTTTTAATTTTACTATTAAAAAGAAACCATTTTGATATTTTCTTGGTCCAATGTATATAGGAGATCCATTATATGATTATTGTGGTGCAACAGACATAAAATGTTATAGAGAAGTTCGAAAGAATCTTTTAAAAGTGGATGGATTTAAGACGATTTGTAACTGTTTGCCAGCATGTACATCAATTGCATATGATTCTGAAGTAACTCAATCACTTCTCAAAGATAATGGTTCAAATTATGATACACAAAATGAGTAAATACTCACTCTACCTTTATAATACATTTATTACAGTTTTTACTTGAGACTTTTCGAGTTTCTATTTAATCTTGTTTTTTTTTTTCAGATTTGCACGATCTATTATGAACGTATATTTTGCTAAAAATCAATTTTTATCGGCAAAACGTTCTGAACTTTATGGTATCGCTGATCTAGTAGCAAATATTGGTGGACTTTTTGGCCTCTTTATGGGTGTTTCAATTTTAAGCTTAGTAGAAATCATTTACTTTTGTACACTTCGATTATGTGTCAATATGAAAATGAGAAAAAAAGCTAAAAAGAAATTAGAGGAAAAAGCAAAAAGACGAGAAAGCAAAGGAATCTCGATTAAATAAATTTTATTTTAAAAAAATTTAACCCAAAAATTATTTTAAATTGTAAAATTCTATGGCTTATTATTTTTAATTCATTGTTTTTGTTAATGAATATTAAATTTTAAAATTTTGAAAGTGAACTTTAATTTAAGATTAAGAAAAATTCTTATTTTAAAACCTAACTCTTTGAAACTCTTGAACTACTTATATTAAAAAAAGTACCCCAAATATTGTACCCTAACAAAATTATACGAAGCAATGACATGCCAATCTATCAAAATTTGGACATTTTCAATACTATTGTACCCATTCGTAAATTACAGTCAAAGTACAATCATAGATTTAGATATTGGTACCGTTACAGATGGCGTTTGAGATTAAATCTGCCTTACCATAGAGGAACCCGAGAAGAACAAGTTGGGCTAAGTTTTGGGACTATCGTACGGGCCAATCTCATGGCTGTGCCTAATATAGAAAACAATACTCATGACTAACACTCTAACAACAACTAACACTCTGTTACGCTAATAAACTAGGTCATGCCAACCTTACAACGAGTGCCTTAGGAAATGTAAAATAAAAGTGAACCTTGGTTCTTTTCGCTTTGAAAAAAACCAAGGTTGAAAAGATTTTGTCGAAATGTGAAGTGTACCAAGGACTGTAACAGACTTAGTAGATTGAAGTGTAACGAAGACTTCAACCCTCTCTTTCCATGATAGAGGGGGTGGGAACGAACATCAAGAAACTTTTAATTTAGCATTTTTCGCACTATGTTGAATTGGTTGCAGATGCGACCGGTGGTTAAATCATCATCGTAGCAAGGGCTGCAATCTTTTGTCACTGATGAGAGGGTTGTCTAAGCTATTGATAACTTCCCGCCGTATGCGGCGACTGGAATGAATAGCACAATTCTGCCGACAATACTGGCTTCTCCCAATGTACTATGTACCCAAACCATCCAAACGCGTAAGGATGATCTTCATCCCAAAATCGAGGAGGAGGGATTGTGAAAACGCAAAGAATGTGAGATCTTCTTTTCTGACCTCTTTTGTCTGAGAGGTTTAGAGCGTATCTTGAAAGTAAGGTTGCAAAAGAGGATGAAATTTACTTGCTGTCAGAATTGCCACATGTGCATCGGATGGGCAAGTTCTCCAACACTGCAGTACATGAGGTCGTTCAGGTGGTGGAACATTACATTAAATACAAGCTTTCAATAATGTTAGATCGTTCAATAATGCAAGATAGTGTTTACCTCGCTGTTAGTCCTATTTTTAAGGGTTTGAGTATTGTGTTGGATTCAAAGTTTAATTGGTGGATTAACGTAAAGAAAAGAGTGAGGAAGGCTTAGATCTGTCTCTACAACAATAAAACGGTTGGGAGGCGGTGGTGATTTAACTAATATGGTTATGTAGCTATACAGGGCGGTTGTCTGACTAATCCTCACATGCATATGCTATGAAGTATACCTACGGTTGTGCGCCCTTCCACACATAAGTAGTCACTTCGGCAGACCAAGCGTGAGTAGCAGGGTTTGGACAAGATATCGCGAATTTAAGCAGATTCCTCAGAAGAATCGGGTGATTTATATAAACACCTGTAGTAATTCGCTAAATAACGGTCTGGAGGTCATGGGGTTCGGTGGACGTGATGCACCGATCACAGATAAACTTTTATGGGACCTATTTTTTTAAACATCACTGGGCAAAAGTTTTTGTGGTTTTCAAGACATTTTCACGAAAAACCACAGAAACACGAAATCGGAATTTAAGCGTTTGTATTTGAGAAATCCTCATTTAAGCAAACCAGTCTGAACCGATTTATAACCCCATTTACAGTTTTCTAGCTCTTTTCATCCTTTATATATTATCATTTTTGAATTGCACAAGAAATCATTTGGACATTAAATAAACCATTTGCATACATACAAATATAAAAGTATAGTTATTATTATATGAATATATGGTTTGAATTTAATTTATTTTCTGTTACTCTTTGAAAAATTTATAAAACGACAGCAAAGTTTTCGAAGAAATGTAAAACCCTATAATAGTAGAGTATATGTACATAAAACACAAGTTAAATCATTTGGGATTTAATTTTTTCGTTGAATTAAAATGGATTCCCTTAATTAGTGACACGCATGATTTCAACTACAGTTGTACTGTTAGTTATAACGACAACATGACGGTTCGTTATTTAAAAAAAATGAAAAACATCACGAACACAAATGACAATAAATTACGAAATTTTAATTTTTCCAATAGAAGGCCACCGAGTACCTAATTATTTTTTGTTTCCTAACTAGACAAACCACCCAAACAGAACCAACCAAACAGAAAGTATATTAAGAATGGTCTAATTTTTTTCTACGTTTAAGAAAAACCTATTTGCCTCCTTTTATATTTTCCTCCTATTCTCGAAAATATTTTCATTTTCGGCATAAAACGCTTTAATTCGTGATTTCTTCCAGTGGGAACTTCTAACTATTTTACGTACATTTTTAATTCGATTAATAGCAATAAACAGCTAACAAGAATTTTCTCTGTTTAAAATTTCCACTCCTTATTTAAGCCATGAGATATGCAATTAATTCAAGTTCAATATCTTATTTTCTTCTGAATTTATTAAATAGCGGCTCATTAAAAAATTCATAAAAAAATATTAAAAAATTTTTATTTAGTTATTCACAATAGCAATGAACCACATATTTTAATATGAAGAAAAAAATTTTCATATGATTGTGTCAGTATAGAATTTCTGATATTTTGCCGTTTTGTCTAAAAATAAAATGTTAAACGTAAGTATATAATGCAAATTAACCTGAATTGACCTACTACACCTTAAAAGCAAAAAAATTTAAATATTTGTAATTTGAAATGAAAATTTAAAATTCATTCAAAAAGAATAATGGATAAAAATAAATGTTTTAAGTATTCCCAATAGAAAATTTTATAATAAACACGCTCATTACGAACACTCACCGTATATGTACATGCGGCTGGATGATTTCCAATTAGTTTTAATTCCATAACATAGTATTGGTATTCCAGTTTAAAGATCCTAATAGAAACATAATGTAAAATGTAAAAATGACAATATCATACTTCCAATATTTATTTTCATTATAGTTTCCATTACAATAGTATAAATAGAACCAATTTTAAATTTTCAAATAATATTTTATTTAACTCGGTCGATTAATTCATACAAAATTCGGGAAACGGATAATAATTATTATTAATAAAAAATAAAGTTGAGAGCAAAAATAGTTGGAATTTATTTTTTTAATTGCATAAAATATGCTTGAAGTACTTGCAAAAAATTTAGACAAGCCACCTGATAACAATGGTGGACCCACCAAAAATAATGTTAACGGAAATAATGAAAACACTGATGGAAGTAATACTGCAAATCCCAATGATAAAGTTAAAGCATGGTGAACTTTTAAACTAATTCGAATAAAATATTTCAAAAAAAATAATTAAGTTTTTCTTTCTATGTGATTTGTGTTCCAAATTAATAGGAAGAAAGCAGCTTTAATGACAAAAACTTTAAATGCATTCAAAGATAATGTATCAATAGCACCGAGTGAGGCACCTTCTGAATTTGATACAAGAAAAATTATCAAATACGGTACTACATATCAAGCGGCATGGGGTATTTTCTCAGAATATTGCAGTAATAGTACAATACATGGTGTACGTTATTTAGGCGAATCTAAACGTCCATGGTTAGAAAGGTAGAAACAATATCTAAAATCAAAAAAAATTTTAAATTTCATTTTAATTGATTAAAGCAATACAAAACATCTTACATAAACTAGCTTCGCCTAAACTACTAAACCTCCCCTAAGTATATGCAATTTTATTAATTTTTTATAACTTTCATTTTTCACAGATTATTTTGGGTATTTGTTTTTGCATTTTCAATTTATTTATGTAGCCGTTTAACAATGAATATATGGGATAAATGGACACTTAATCCAGTTATAGTTAGTTTTGCTGAAAAATCAACACCTGTTTGGCAAATACCATTTCCAGCTGTAACAGTATGTCCAGAAACGAAAGCACGACGAAGTGTTTTTAATTTCACTGATGTTTATTATAAAATTGCCTATGAAATGGGCAATGTAACTGAAAATGAGTTGAGTATTTTAAATTAAATTGTTAAACAATAAAAATTCATAATTACTTTATTCGTGCTTCTAATAATTTCAGAGAATATTACATGAAAGCGATATCACAAATATGTGATACACATTTATTTGAAAATTTTGGATATGGACCAGAACATGCTAATGCATCTTCTATACTTGAAGCCTTAGAAAGTTCAAAACCTAAATTTAATGAAACTTATTTTGTTTGTAAATGGCGTAATCGTTTAGGTTGTAGTGATATGTTTTTCAAAGTTTTAACAGAAGAAGGAATTTGTTACAGTTTTAATACACTAGATGCTGAAGATATTTACAGAACTGAAGAGTAATTAAAAATTTTTAATGATAAAATATTTAATTTTAATTTTTTATTGTCTGTTTATTTATTTCCAATAATCAGAACTGATCATGATTTATTCTTGCAATATGAACAACAAGTTGATAATTATGCTATTGGTTTAAAAGAAGAAGGAATTGATGTACCATCAGAATTACAAAATATAACAAAAAGAAATTTATCCACAATATGGAATTTAGAAGACGGTTATGGTCCGAATGCCGGTAGTGAAGCATTTCCAGAACGTGTTTTAGGTGCTGGTGCAAGAGCTGGCCTATTTTTAGTTTTAAATGGTTTTAAGCAAGATTATGATCAAATATGTCGTGGTCCAGTTCAAGGGTTTAAGGTAATTCAAATGAATATACAATACTTAAGTTCCAAATAAATCAATCTTCCGTCCTTTTTAAATATTTTTTTGATAACAAATCTAAAAAGCACTAATTTTCTTATATCTATATCAAAATTCTCATTACTTCAGCTCAACATCAGCTGATATCACTTGTTAACACCAAACATGTCAATTACAACGTAATAAATTAATAGCATTCTGCTTGCTTGACAAACATTTTGCATTCTGTAATTGACTGCTTCGTGTAATAAGCAACATCATGCCGGTTTTCCCACCGTTATAGATAGTAGATTGCGGAATGAAGCGACGATGCACCACGGTCGGCTTATGTCTTGCCTAGAACAACCCGCAGCGATCCACACTTTGATGAATCCGGGAAACTTTTCCGGGGAAACATACCACAACAACATGCCCACCAGCAAGAGTCCACAGACATTGAGAAGGTGCATCAGAGTCTCACTTCTTTCCCCACACTACCAGCAACACCGGTCAGTTCCCTCGCCTGACTTGCTTAGGTTTTCCTTCCATATTCTACGGAAAATTTTCATTGTCACATGTTCAATTAACTAAGGCGGCAGGACCTCACTTTCTCTTCCTACCATAACCCTTAATTCCAACAACAGTATGTATATGATAGATTCAATTAGATTTAGCTATTCTAGAGTTTTGCGAAAATTTCAATATTTTTCATTTTAAAACCTAAATTTTGTCTTAAAAATCTATTGTAAAAGTGAAATGTTGAAAATTTATTATTAAAAAATAACGGAATACACTAGAGGAAATTTTAAAAAACATAATGCCAACCATTATTAGAATTTCACTCTATATCAAAACGCTAATTCGCGTTACAGTTAACTATTATTTATGATGCAATGCAATGTTAAAATTTGAAAAACGAAGAAGAAGAAAACAAAAACATAAATAAATTAAGGTGTGAGTGTATTGAGCTCTTTAATATATACGAATAGCCAATAATAAATAAATTTGAAATGTCACTGGAGTATTCACGAATTTTTGGCATAAATTATTAGAAAAGTAAAAATAATAATTAATCAACAATCAACCTAATTAAAAATTGGAAATATATTTAAATTAGGTGATACTGGAAATTAATAATAATAGCATAAAAAGTCAAAATTTAAATGAGAAGTCATATATCACGGAAAATCTACCTTCGGACACATGTTGTGGAATACATCAACATCCAGCAATTTCGCGAATATTGAACACTGAATATATTATATAGTGAGCTTCTAGGAGAAAAGTGGGAGAAAAGAAATATTGGCGAACTGCGTACTCTCTCTATCGGAGCTGCGGAACCTTTCAATTTACCCGAATTCACTAGGGGTGTGAATTTCGAAGGAGTGCTGTAAAGGTGTGTTCAACACCAAAAGGGAGCAGGATAAAAGAGTTCCTTTATGCTAGTCGCAGTACAATTTTACCCCATCTGTACAATCTTTAATCTCATATTTATCTGTCGAATTTTTAATTTTTCCTCTCTCTAGAATGTCTTTAAAAAAATAAATACAGAGATTCGGTGTGTTCTTTATCGGAAAATTTTGTGCAATAAATGCGAGACGTTTTGGTAACAACGTTAGACACTTCATTTTTTTTTCATAGTATGTTTGATTGTTTTAATTCTACATAATTTTAATATTTTTCAGATTTTACTTCATACACCTGGTGAGATTCCACAAGTATCAAAGCAATATTTTCGAATACCATTCAATCAAGAGGTTTTAATTTCAATTAAACCTAAAATTATAACAACTTCGGATGGATTAAAACATTATCATCCACAAATGTAAGTATAAAAGAAATTTCTTAAAAATTTAGATTATTGACTTGTAATAATTATTTTGCCCAATTTCATTTTAGACGGCAATGCTATTTCCAAAGAGAAAGAAATTTAGCATATTTCAAATTGTACACACAAAGTAATTGTGAATTGGAATGTTTGGCTAATTATACTTATTCACAATGTGGTTGTGTTAAATTTTCAATGCCAAGTAAGTTAATTACGTTTCTCACCTTAATCTAAATTATATTAATATTAAAGAAGTGAGACATCTCATCCCAAGTCAATATATCACTTTGCATTCATTTCGCATACAACAAATACATTAATATAATTTCCACAACAGATCCTCTGCAGTTCAACGTGGTTTGGCAAAGGTAACAAACGCCTCTTTACGGCCTTATCCATTCTTTATAGCCCACAAAAAGGCATTCAGTAACTTTTAAAACTGAATATGCAAACGTTGCCGGTTCTTTTTTCTAATATTTAAAGACGGTTTTTGAAGTTTGACAACATCGTCTCTCAAATTCAAACAGTACCACTGCCAACGTCAGTTGAATTATTTGTTCATGTTCCATAGTTATCCGTAGCTGTCCAATAAACATCCAAAATAATGTTTTCATATTGAACAAACAATTTTTACAAAATATTAATCATTTTAGGGAATACATCTATTCCAGTATGCGGATCACAAAAGATTGATTGTTATAATCAAGCAGAAGACGCACTTTTAAAAAATGAATTTGAACAAGGTTTAAAAACGTCAAAGGAGAATTATAGAGGTGAAACAGATTGTAATTGTTTGCCAGCTTGTACATCGATTGCTTATGAAGCAGAAATTTCCCAAGCTGATTATGATTTTGTATCACAATTTGAGGCATACATGTCATCGTCTTATCTGGATGATCATCCAGGGTAAAAATAATCCACCTATAAAATTTCCAAAACTTCTTAATAATTTATTTTTATAGTACTCAAATGGCAAGATTATCGATATTTTTCAAAGAAGCACAATTTTTAACATCAAAACGTTCTGAATTATACGGTACCACAGATTTTCTTGCCAATTGTGGAGGTTTACTTGGTCTATTTATGGGGGTTTCAGCATTAAGTATCATCGAATTAGTTTACTTCTGTACTGTTCGTTTAATTACAAATCTAAAAATGAGAAGTCGTAAAATGAAACAATTGAAAACAATTACAGAACTTGGAATTGCACCTGCAATTATTATTTCAGATGATAAATAAGCTAAACTAATAATGGCTAAAAGGCTAAAATTGAATCTGCATATTTTTTATGTAAATTTTATCAAACTCTATAAAAAGTTTAAATCCGAGTGAAAAAAGGGCGACTTAATTTTTTTAATATTATCTATAAATTTTATAAAAAACATATTTTAATAAAACTGGTCGATTTAATTTTTAAGATTACTTTTATGATGCTTTTTGTTATAGCGTTGTTAATTTAATTGAAGTGAACTTTGCAGTAAAAATGTTTAAATAAGTGCAATATTTGAACTGAATAACAGTGGGGAAGATAATTTCTTTAGATTACTGCAGAATAGTTGAAAAGCGGGAGCAAAGGAACGAGTCAGAAAGCATACAAATTTTCTTCTAGAAACGAACTCGAACCGTATAATAACCCGCCGCTTTTAAACTTTCTTTAATTTATAATAGATTTTATAGATTTTTTTTCCTTAAAGAAGAATGGGGACTCGCAACCCTTCTCACTTTAAGCCATAGGTCTTTTATGTAAGACCTCCGAAGGGGTCACAAAGCCCCGTTCGAAGCACTCTAGACCAAGCAGAGGCGGCAGAGCTCACTCTCCATCTTGTTCATCCTTTTCAAATGAACCATAGAGAGACACTGTCTAGTGAGCACTCCAACCACCAACAACTCAACAAGATCTACTCTCCATCCTGCTCTCTGAGGGCTGCATTTATTTATTAGAATTCTCTATTCCTGGACACCAACTCACCTTACGAAAGGCACTTGTGTAGATGGAACATTGTGCCTGATGGTACATTGTGCATTTGGAACATATGCTGAAATCATGTTCCAAATACATCCTAAGCAGACTTCATATTAATGTGCTTAATGAGAGCACAATTACAATTTGGTTTAATTTTAATAAAATATTCTATTTATATTACCTAATCCAAAGTAAGGGAACATTAAAGCCAAAAGTCAAAAATTCTATCGAAGTTATTTGATATGACCTACTATTGCCATCCATACGTAATTGTTTCTAATTATTTTGAGAATTCCTAAAATTCTTATTCCTCCTAATCATTATGCCCACTGCTTTTTTATTCATTAATAGCATAAACCAATTAAATATCATAAATCAACTAAAGGACTTTCTATGTTATTTTCTTTACATTAACTTTCATATAAGTAATTGTTGTTGTTTATTCCCCTTTAACCTTGAATTTTATTTCAATACTAAATTTTTTTTTGCAAATGTTAAGGATATATTAGCAATAATTCATGATCATCAAAATGCTAATCTTTTATTGATAATTTTATTGTAAATTCACGCCCTTATAGAATATAAAATTATATTTACCTTATTATATCCAAATATTGAACTAGTCAGATATAAGGAAGGTTATACTTTCGTTAACGCATTCAAATTGTAGCTAAAAAGATTATATTATATTATACATACATTAAAGAGATGTGGAACTTCCCAAAAGTTTTTAAAATACTTAAATACTTAAAACTTGGAGTTCATTTAATATTTCTGGAGCTAACACATTATTCTACTTCATATCTGAAACTTTCCATACATATTATTTTTGACCGCAATCTTGCGCTGCAATTGTTTTGACTAATGTATCAATATTACTGAAGAACTAGTTAGATACTTAGGAAGACTGCAGTAAGTCATAAACCCCTTCTCGGCCCTCACAGGAAATTTGACTTCGAAATTCAAAACTTCAATATTTTTTTTTTCGTCATTTGGATATCACCAAAAGTAACGAGACTTGAAGCCATAAAAGCCCATAGATTTGTGCAACAGAGTTAACAGTGCACGATGACCATGATAGTATATGAGGATGGGTCATGCCCTACAACACGTTTTCTCTTTCACATTAAAAACGGACAGGCACAGAAAACATGATCTAGCCATTTTCCTCAAGGTAATGCCCCATCAAGACCTCCACCAGTGTGCTGAGATCAGCCCTACTAAACCTCAACAGCATCCTCATCCTCCTTTGTTCCTGATAGGCCACATTGTTTTGGTCACCCTACACATGTGAGCCTCCGCCCACAAGACTCCACTACTTCTTCTACACTTACATCTTTATGACGTCAAGATACGCTCCTAGGCGCAGACGCACCGAACCATCCACAATGTCAGCACCCCCACCCCTCGCAAGACGAACTGCCTTCTCATTGACCCGTATCCCGCTGTGACCGGGAACCCAGCACACAGTCACTCTGCACATATTACAAAGTGCCCCAAGTGTCCTCGTGCATCGACCCACCAAAGCCGACAACAACTGCCATAACTATCAACTTTACAAAATCAAAATTTGATGATAAGTTGATTTCGAAAAATAGACATATCAATTGGTCAAAAGTTTTAATACACAATTCTCCATTGTATTTTGCGACTTAAAAGTCTTGATATTCGTGGATTCATAAGATAAGGTTAGCTGTGTCGAAAATTACCCAAAGGTAAGCAGATCGAAATACGTTTCATCAAGGAAAATCCAGTTGGCTACAAGCCCCAAATTACATACTAATATTTCTACCATTTTTTTGTAAAATTATTTAAAAAACTTTTGGACGTCCTTTTGTATTTAAGAAAACTCTTTTACTACAAGCTATTCTTTTCTTATCATAATAATATCAAATTTCTTTCAATTATTGTAATACTAATGTTGCTCGTCAAGACTAAATGTTGACGTTTTATTAAACTATAATTAATAAAACAAAAAGAAAATTAAACATCATAACAAAATGTTTCCTTGTTCATAAACGTACTTTATACTTTTTACCTGAACTTAGTTCAGACAAGTAAGAGAATTTGGCTTATTCACACCAATGTGTCGGACAAATTTTAAAATATAAAAAAAATATTTCAAAATGATTATCTTAAGAATTTAATTAAAGTTCAAATATTACTTAAGAACCGTCCAGAACACAATAAAATGGCAGCAGGTCTTGTACAATTTGTATCCGATGTCAAAAATTTCACCAATTTAAAAAATAATTCAAAATTTTTACATTTATCTTTACAACATAGCAGATGTGCCATCATCAATACGAAAGAAAATTAAATATGGTGAAACAACAGGTACAACATGGGGTCTATTCTCAGAATATTGTCATCACAGTTCAATACATGGTGTCAAATATTTGGGTGAGCCGAAACGGAGTTTTCTAGAAAGGTTAGTAAAATATGTAGTAGTTGCCTAAAACTGAATTTAATTAAAATAATTTTAATGTTGTAGATTGTTTTGGATTTCTATATTTGCTTTTTCAATATATGGTTGTCTTTCACTTATTGGGAATACATGGAATAAATGGCAAGAGAATCCTGTTATTGTTAGTTTTAATGAGAAATCAACACCAGTATGGCAAATTCCATTTCCAGCTGTAACGATATGCCCTGAATTGAAATTCCCCCAAGATAAATATAACTATTCAGAAGTAATATTAAAAATTATAAATCGTGAATTGCAAAATATTACAGAGAAAGAGTAAGTATTTTTGGTCGTCCAGCTACAATGGGAGAAATTCTAATGTCGAAAAAAATAGCGAAAGCTCTTAATGCATCATTAAATTAATTCCAATTGAAAATTTCTTTTTCTAGAAACAATTACACTGATATTATGGCACATGTTTGTGATTACGAAACAGTTTCAGAAATTTTTGACATGCTAAGAAATGACACAAATATGTTTTCGGATCGTGATGAATTTATTGATATAAATACAATTGTACCGATTCTTGAAGAGCTAATTCCTTATGATGATATGCCATTTGAAGGATGTAGTTTTCAAGCGAAAACAATGAAATGTAAAGAATTATTTCGAAAAACAATAACTAAAGAAGGAATTTGTTTTAGTTTTAACTTTCTTGAATCTCAATATTTATATAGAAATGAAACGTAAGACAAAATTTTTGAACTTCATTTTACAAAATTTATAAAATGGGTTCCTATTAATTTTATAGTGTTAACAATGAAATTTATTTAAAAAGTATATCCAAAATATCGTCAAATAATATAAGAAATTTAGAATGGAATATTGAAGACGGTTATGATAAGAATGCCGATAGAAATGCTTATCCAAAGAGATCTCTTGGTTCTGGTGCTAAAGCCGGTCTATTTTTATGGTTATTCAGTAATAAAATAAAGTGTGATAAAACATGTAAAGGACCAATTTTAGGATTTAAGGTAAAATGCGAAAAATATCAAACTTTTGATTGTATGTTTAATTTAATTCTCTTTTTTAGATGTTACTTCATGCACCAGATGAAATCGATGATATATCAAGTCAATATATTCAAGTGCCATTAGGACAACAGATTTTGATATCTATAAAACCAAAAATACTTCATACATTGGAACGTTTAAGAGATTATAGCCCAGAAACGTATAAAATAAAGCTACGTGTTTTGTATAGCAAATCTTAAAATTTTGATTGTAACCCAATTTCAGGCGCCAGTGCTTTTTTCAAGATGAACGTTATTTGAGATATTTTAAATATTATAATCAAAAGAATTGCCAATTAGAATGTTTGACAAATTTTACATATTCAAGATGTAAATGTGTACGTTTTGATATGCCAAGTAAGTATTTTTATGCAGTTAATTTATGCATTAAAAAATTATTTTTATGATTTAAGGAAATAATGATACACCAATATGTGGTTTAAAAAATTTAAAATGTTATAATGAAGCTGAATATCATCTTTTAAATGAAGAATTTGAACGTGGAAGTAAAAAAAGTAAAAATATTTTTAATAGTTTTTCAAGTACGTGCAATTGTTTACCAGCCTGTACATCAATTGCATATGAAACTGAAATAAATCAAGCGGCTTATAATGTAACAACACATTATGAACCATTTATATCGAAATTCCCACAAGAATTTAGTGATATGTAAGTATAATTGAAAATATTTAGATTAGTCTAAACTTTCTCTTCTATTTCAGATATGAGATGTCACGAGTTTTTATATATTTTAAAGAACCACAATTTTTAACATCAAAACGTTCTGAACTTTATGGCACCACAGATTTTTTAGCTAATTGTGGTGGTTTACTTGGTTTATTTATGGGTGTATCACTTTTAAGTTTTGGTGAATTAATATATTTTTGTACAATACGTTTAGCTGCAAACTTAAAAATGAGAAAAAAAACGAATAAGAATTCAGTCAAAGAAGTGGTGAATTATGATAGTTATAAAAAGGAAATTATACATTAATCAATTAAAAATGAACATTTAATTTAAATATGCCAACTACCTAAAAATATACAATTTTATAAATGTTATATTAAAAACTACAATTTTTGTAAAAATAAGTTTATGATAAAATAAATGTAAATCAACAGAATATGTGGTGAACTTAAAATTTAAAAATATGTGGGACGTTCAGAAGAGAAAATAATTCTCTCAAAAATGATTTATTAAAAAAGAGACAGGCGCTAGTGAGTTATTCCAGACAAAGACCACCAATAGCTTCAGATTATACATTAAATGGTCAAATTCGTAATTCAGTTAGCTTAAAGACGTAGAGGATTGCTTTGATAACAAGTTATCATTCGTTAATCACTACAACTATATCATTAGCAGGACGAGCTCCATATGGAGATTCCAAGGAGTTTATTAACCCCTACATTTTGAAGTCCGTGTATGCGTCTCTAGTTCGTCACCATCTATAATATGCCTAACAGGTTTGGTCCCTTATTTCTATCAGTATAGAACGTTAAATCTGTAAAACAAGTTCAAGAACACAAATGTTGTTAATCAGAGCGAATAGTCTAGGAATTTTACAATAAAAGCGAGTATATCCCGCGTTCCAAATATGCCAATTCTGACTCGTATATTGACTATTGACAATTCATAAATAATGACCCTTAAAATAAGGTTGAATATTTTGTATCAAATCTATTTTGAAAACAAAAAAACTTAATTGACCAACAATTATTTTATTATTCTTAATATAACCAATATCGTAATTTACTATATACGAGTACAATCTCATATCGTAAATAAAAACAAGGAAAGTAATTCTATAAAATTTTCGCCACCCTTACATCATTATTTAATTATCGCGACAACACCTTTTTTTTTTGGTATTAAAATACGGCAACGCTTTAACAATAATTTATTGCGTATAAAAATATGCTGGTTAACAGGTTTTCTAACAGTATCCTTTTGAATCTTATACATTCAAGTATAAAAGTGATAAAAAGTGAAAGCAAGAAAAAAATATTTTAAGTTGGCATTACAAAACCGGCAAGTAAAATGGAAACAAAATTACCTACTGTAATAGAAGGAGTCCCTCTATCGTCACCCCCTGAATCTGCTGAAAATGAATCAAATTCATTACATCACCTCAAATTTAAGGATCATGCAAATGATTCAAGAAATATTAATAACGAAATAAAAAATAACTTAAAAGAAAATTTAACATTGAAATCGAAAAATTCTTGTTCAAAGACTTTCATTGACTTTTGCGATAAAACTTCGATTCATGGTTTCCAGTATATTGGAGAAAGAACTTTTTGTGAAAGGTATACAATTGCTTTTAAAAATTCATTTCAATTTATTTCTTTATTCATTATTATTGAAATTCATTTCAGATTCATTTGGTTTTGTATTGTTATAATAGCATTCTATTGTTGTGGTACTCTTATCATTGATATTTTTGATAAATGGTTTGATAAACCGGTATTTGTAAGTTTCGAATCGCAATCAACCCCAGTTTGGAAAATACCATTTCCAGCTATTACCATCTGTCCAAGTAGACAATTTAGTAGAAATGATTTTGATTTTCTAACAGCATTATCAATAGCAGAAAATAAAAATATTTCATCAAAGACGTAAGTAATAATTTTTGGCTTTAGAAGCTCATCTTTAGCTCAATATTTTAAACTCAATTATCCTGGACTATCATACAAACCATCAAAACATATTTAAATACTTTAAATACAGGCATATTACTTAAATTTGATTGGCACCAATAAGCCTTTATTTACTTACTCATTCTAAATATAATAAAGATACTTCAATCAATTTTAATTGAATTTCAAATAAATTTATATAAGACTAGAGTATTTTATACATAAAAGTTATAATCGTAGGGTGCGGTCACATTAGATACATACATTTCTTTATTAAACATTTACGTAGTAATACAAAAAATTTATTAATTACCATAGCTACCATAGAGTTGCCACTAAAAATAGGAGACAATTTGTCAAATATAATATGACAATAACGTTCCTGTGTGAACTCAAAAGAGCGGAAAATTTTCTGAAGCGCGAAAAGAACAACATTATTGTCAACCGAACCTTTCCGAAGAAGAAGTTCCTATTATAATTTTTAGATTTCTAAAGTAAAAATACATTGTAACTTGATCGAATGATTGCATTGCTGTCCAGTGTTACCATTAATTCTCACTCTTGTCAATTCCCCTTCTTTAAGCTATTATAAAACAGCTGGAACATTCTGTAGTATGTAGTTCATCCTTGAGAAAAAGTCCGAATAGACTGAAAGTATTTAATTTTCTTTTCTGTCTCTGAAAGATTTGGTCATTAGCACAACTTTTTCACTTCAATGCTTTCGACAGATTAATACACTACGTCATAGAACACGGCTTATCATAACCGTGGACGTTTTCGGCCACCCCAAATCCTTCTGTTATTGAATATTAAGGCGGAGTTTTTTTTTTCAAATTTGTTTTTAACTATTAAAAGTTTGTATCACAGTAACACTTTGAAATATATTTTGCTCTAAATTTAATTAACCGCCACTGTATATTGTTTAATAGACAACTATAGTGTACACACTATAAATTTCCATAAAAATAATTACAATTTTGAAGGTCATTCCATTAGAAAATTGAAAAAACAAAACAAATGTTGTTGTGAGTTGATTTTGTGCTAGAATCTTTAATATTAACTAATTAACATTAAGATTGAGGTTAAATAAATAAATTGTCCTTTAAGATTCAAAGGCAAATTGCTAAATTTTATTCATTTCAAGGTTATTGTTTAGGTAATCATTTGGGAAAAGACGACTTTTACCTTAATCACTTTGAAAACACTTTAGTATCAATGCACTAGTATATAAATTTTAAATTATAGAAAATCTTATCTGGAAACTGTTGGTCAAATATGTATTCAAAATGAAGAATTGCCATCAATGAAAGAAACTATTTTTAAAAGTCATGGATTTGAAAAAAACCTTAAAATGTCATATTTTCTAAAACAGATCAATTCACTTTATAATAAACGCTTTAAGAATGAATCAGATGGAGACTATTATTGCAGATGGGGACAAGCTGAATATGATGAAAATTGTTTTGGTACAATTTTAACAGAATCTGGTCTTTGTAGAACAATTAATTTTCTATCACCGGATGAAATTTTAAGAAAAGAAGCGTATGTATTCAAAAATAATATTTTGATCGAAACAAAAAAAAATTCATATTGCGAATTTTCGTTTTAGTATTCATGATGAAATATTTTTCAATGGAACACCAAATAGAAATCAGCAATTGCAAAGGGCAATGGGCTCTGGTATGCGATATGGTTTAGAAATGATGTTCTCTGAATCTAAAAATAATGATGATTATGATGTTACATGTATCAGTCCAATACAGGGATATCAGGTTCCAATAATTACCTACACATATAAGTAGTAAAACCTTTTCTGAGTATCGAGTAGCTTATTTTATTATAGAAACGAATCATTGATGTGAATCGATTTGTGTTTACATTAATAATGTCGAACTTTTTACAATAATTATCGCTATCACATAGTGATTCGATACTGGGAATAAACCACAATTCTTACTTATCTTAAACTTCAAATTATTATATTTTCAGCTTGTATTACATTCAGCAAATGAATTCGGTGATATTTCAAATCAATTTATACAGATTCCATTAGGACATCAAGTCTTGATTTCAATAAAACCAAGAATTATTTCTTCAGCCAATAAAATTTTAAAATATTCACCAAAAATGTAATTATTAAGCTAAAACTTTAAAACTATTTTAAAAATTTTTTAAGAACTTCTTGGTTTAACTTGTAATTTCAGACGTCAATGTTATTTTCAAAAAGAAAGATATTTAAAATTTTTTAAAAAATATAATCAAAGAAATTGTCAAACAGAATGTTTAGCTAATCATACTGTGCGTAAATGCGGTTGTGTACCATATTTTATGCCAAGTAAGTAAATTTTTGCTGAACACATTTACAATAATTATTATAAAATTAAAAATTTGAATAATATCGTAGAATTGAAGTCGACACCGATTTGTGGCCTTTCAAATTTTGAATGTTGTCATTTGGCCGAAAAAGAATTAAACAAACTCGAATATGATGATGACTTTGATGATGTAGTTGATGGTAGAGAAGAGAAATGTAATTGTTTACCAGATTGTCATTCAATTTCATATGATACCGAAATCAATACAGTTGAAAATAATTTCAAAGAACTTTTGATTAAAATAACAAAAGCACGAAATCAGTCACAAAGTGATGAAGAACTTGAAGAAAAATTTAAAAAGTGAATAGAAATTTTAATAATTAATTTATAGGAATATTTATAATTTATTTTCAGTTTTGTCAGTACGAAGTTTTTCATTTATTATAAAGAAGATCGTTTTATAACATCAAGACGCTCGGAACTCTTTAGTACAACAGATATTATAGCTCAATGTGGTGGTTTATTGGGACTTTTTATGGGAGTATCCTTAATTAGTTTAGTGGAAATTGTTTATTTTCTAACCGTACGATTATTTCTTAACACAAGAAGAAGTTAAATAAAGAAATTTTAATTATTAATTATAAATAATAAAAATATTTAATTTTGCATAAATTTCTAATTTCAATAATTTATGAACAGCTTATAATATTAATTCAAAACTATTCTAATAAAGTGACATAATAGAAGTTAAAAATGATGATCAAATTTTGTTTTAATAACTATGAAACTTATTTTTACTTGATCATTTTCTGTGGGGTTATATTAAGTGAATCTTAAACTAATGCTTTGAATTTAAGATTTTTGCCCTCAACTACCCTCAAATGGAGCTTTAATTGTTTAAAACTGAGAATGAAGTAAAATACTTAGGAGTAATTTTTTGATAGTAATCTTTTGTGGAGAAAGCATGTATATATATAACATAATAAGATGGATGTATAAGAACAAAATGAGATGGGTGGATGGTGATTCGTCCCTTGACTTACGCGGCGGTTGTAGGGAGCAAAAAGACCTCTCCCAATACTACCAGAAGCGTAGCCTAGAAAATTCTTAATCACGACATGATTAGAAGTTAGAGCGTTGAGAAAATTTTACCTCAAAGCTGAGTAATAGGCGAACTGAAGAAGTGATAGGGCTTGAGCTTTCCGATGGGCCGAACACCTTGTTTGGAACTACTGTCAGAGTATATAAGTCAAGTACTTCGAACTAGGTGAAACGTGTGAAAGTGCTTTCCAAGCCGAGGTGCATGCAATCGATATTTGTGTTCGCTTCAATCTGGAAAGGGGCTATCGTGAACAGAAAACAACGATCAGGTTGGACAGTTGCGCTGCTGTTGGAGCCTTGGGTTCATGCACCGTGAACTCTAGGATGGTGTGCGGTCGTCTTAATTGGCTCAATGAATTAGGCAAGCGAAACCGGGTTACATTGTTCAATAACCGGGTGGACGACAAATATGGGGAAATGTGTGTGCTGACGTGCTAGCGGCAAGGTGTGCCATTACCCCCCTTATAGAGCCGCAACCATTCTGAAGCACCACATGAGGATTTTTCAACCGGGAAACGAGGGCATCTGTAGGTTCTATGGGGAGATGGGGCAGACTCTTGACCATTGTGTCCTCGCAGCAGAAGAGCTGTCAGAAATCACAACCCACGAGATATTCGAGTTTTCCAGTTGGACAGGCTTCAAGGGAACGCTTTAAACGTAATAGCTGGGAAGGTGTAGAATAGATCAACTTCTGGGGTGGCGATGAATTTTTACCTCATGTCATATCTACTCTGAGAAACACTTAGTATGCATAGTTATGACACAAACCTATTGTAACGCTGCGGTGTTATGTAACATATTTAGCTTTTAATTTATTATTGCCAGATTTTACTCATAGTTTTTGGACTATTACTCATATTTCAATTTAAGGACATATGTGTGTTTCCATATTGTGTAGCAAAAAGTGAATAAAAGGGGTTGCACTCCTACATGAGGGGCTGCTTCCTTGATATAGTGGGAGCTCTTGACAACACTCCATACCATGTCATCTGTGAGTCGTTGCACAAACGAGGGATTGATGTGACGACGAGCAGATGGGTTTATTGGATGCTACAGGATAGGATTATAAAGTCCAGCATAGCTGACGACACACTCCTCATTTCCGCTGGGGTTACGCCGACGATGTGGCCTTCGTCGTACGATCTTCGTCTGATCTTCTACAGCAAAATTGGGAAGGTGTTGCGAAGGCGTTGGGTTAAATATAAATCCAAGTAAGAGCACTTTGGTCGCCTTCACCAGACGCAGAAGCAGGGATAGATTAACGAGCCCAATTCTGTTTGGTGAACGTATTGGTTACTCTAGGGAGGTGAAGTATTCGGGGATAACCCGGGATGATCGTCCCTCCTGGAATACCCATATAGATAGAGCTATCGAGAGGGCTACGGCGGCCTTGTGGACGTGTAGGAGCTTCATTGGTGGGACCTGGGAGATCAGTCCCAGGATAGCACTGTGGCTATATACGGCCCTTGCTAGGCCCATCGTCACCTACGCGTCGATTGTGTGGTGCCGTAAGGCTCAGAGCGATCCGATTTTAAGAATAACCATGTCGGATGCCTGTCTGCCGCGGTACAACTTCGACCGCAAGTACAGGGTTCTGTTTCTCGATCGATGGACGTGGGATTGGGGGGGCCCGGTACTTGAGTCGGGTTCGAGCGTGTCATATGCAGACGGGTCCAAGACGGAGTCGGGTGTGAAAATAAAAAATAGAAATCGCACCATCTATGTGTTCTCGGACAGCAGAGCTGCACTGTTGGCGCCTCATCCAGCTCAAGTTACATCCAAGCTGGTTTGGGGCTGCCTTGCTGCATTTGTGGAATTGGCATCGGAAACAGAGTCACGCTTATTTGGGTGCCGGGCCACAGTGGCTATGCGGGCAACGAAATTGCCGATGGGCTAGCGCGGAGGGGATCTGAGGCTGACTTTGTGCAGCCTCTGCCTTTCTGCAGTCTACCTTCTTCCGCCGTGGAGGCCAGGCTTGCCTGTCTGCTCGCGGCAGAATGCGGCCTTCACTGGCGGGACAGGAGATTCACCGGATGCGGCCTTCACTCAGCGGATTCACCGCAGAGTTGCTGGGGATGAACAGGCGTCGTGTTCGCAATATTGCGAATATCTTCACGGGGCACTGCCTTCACGACTGTCTGCACTGGCTGTTCGGCGCCGCAATTGTCTTGGACATGGGTCCGTAAGTGTTCGGGATCTGTTGTCCAACTCCCTTAGGGATATCTCCGGCTTTGTGGCTACAATAAGTCAAGAATGGCTGCGGTGACTTGGGGGGTTACTCCTTTCCCACTCGGCTCCCTTAAAATCTACAAATCTACAAATCTACTCCTACGCGAATTAAGTTTTCATTAAAAAAACTTACATATACTTTTCCAAAAGGAATATTTTTATCATAATTTTTACTTTCTCTAGAGATTTCTATTGAAATTATTAAAAAAACTTGGTGATACATAATATGCTTATATTACTTAAAGGAATAATTGCAATTATTTAATTGCCTTAATTGCACATTTGTGTTATATAATTAAGAACAGTAATATCATTAAGGCCGATTGAATTTAAGAGCACAATTTTAATGGTATGATAAATTTGAAAATTTTTAATTAATCCATCCAAATCTCTCCCCCCTTTGGAGCTCGTCTATAAAAAAATATTTCTGAAATTATTAAAAATCCTTCACAAATTTCAACACATATAAAATTTCAACACATTGTAATTCAATTTAATTTTTCAAGCATTTCTAGATTCAAAAACTAGAAATTTTTTTTTGTAATTTAAAAAGTTTTATATTAAATTCTAATTTTTGTCGTTTTATTCTTAGATCGCTCCATATTATGCCAAATTTAATAAAATATTTTAAATGTAAGTCATTATTACACAAAAAAATTCTACAATTAAATTTAATATTTTGACATGAAAATCACAATCACATTCAACCAACTTTCTCATTTTGTAACTTAGAAATTTTCAATTTTCCTCATAACGGCAAATTTTCAAAGTACAACAACATAGCATTTTCAATAGCAAATAAAACACTAATTTAATTAGTAAATTACGAGAAAATTTTTAAAACTTTCCAACTATCATAGAAATGAAAATCATCAAAGAACTTGTCCCTTATACATGATAATTTTAAAACTAAACTAATTTATGTACATGTGTATGTACATATGTGCAATAATAATCACATATGAACATTACAGCCATTCCATTTGCCATTTATTTTAAACGTTACGTTACATTTAAAATCATTTTCTTTGGTCAAATTGTTGTTTTTGTTTTTTGCAACAAAATTATAAAAAAAAATGTATTTAATTTATAAAAAAAAAACTTTTAATCGCTTCCAGAATTATTCTCTTTAGATTTATTTTAGTTTTTAGATCGTTAAATATCAAAAGCGAATTTCTTTTTATTTTATTTGAAAAAAAAAAATGAGGAACCTTAAAGAAATGCTTTTAATTGATTGAGTGTTATATTTTGCTATTTAAACTATTTAATATTAACTATATAATTACGAACTAATAAAGTAAAATTTAACTTGGCAGATTTCGGTTTTAGACAAAGTCACTGTATCCATAGCCGCCTATATAAAAGTCACTTTCAAAGAGTCCAATAAGCTTGTCTTTGATCCAATAAAGTACTGTGTAGTCTCACATTCCCGACAAATTTGTAGAACTAACTCGTATTTGAATCCAATTTGTGGATATGGTAATTCAGCATCATCATTATAAGGGTAGATTATCATCGGATGAGAGGACGGAATCCTCATCTCTAGGTGATCATAAGAATACTGAGGAATCATGTGAGAATTCTCTGGGGTTTTTTAGTTTAAGGACTGACAAGGCAAGTTCTGTATGGGAGGAAAGTAGACTACCTTGCAACATCTTAATGAGTGTAGAACGTTAGTCCGTAGGGGAGAAGGAACTGCAACCTATGCAATCTACAAAGTTTGTTTGCTACTAAATCCCGACAGCTTATCTAAATACCTTGAAACCAGTTTTGTGGAAAATCTACCTCGTTACAAACTAAAGTTAGCATTCGGTGAACTGTCAGAATTTTTCAAGACTCAGGATCGGCTCAGAGTTCTTAACAACAATGTATGCTTAACTTATTTAACCGAAACCAGGTTGTACCAGTCTCTATAAGAAGAGTATAAAATATAAGAGTAATGGTTACAAAAAATTATTACCAACACTAACATCCCTCGTACTTTTACCGAATATACTTATACTAATTACTATTATGTTTTATGGAATATGTTCATTTAGAGTTAAGAAGTTATTTTTATTTACTTTTCAATAATTCTGCCATATCTTATTTGTTAAAGCGAAATTAAGAAGAACAATCAGGGAGAGAGGGATAATTGTAGAATCTTTATCCAAAAAATATTTCGAATTTTATTTTTTTTTCTTATTTTACAATTATTTTTCTTGAATTTTTATTCATTTTTATTATTAGTTACATTATATAGCTCTTGCTTAACACTAAACACTACAATATAAGACTTTAAAGCAC